ATTATACAAATATTATAACTTCCCCAATTTTTCCCTTTTTTTCATTTAAGAATTATGTTTACGTTCAAAAACAGCCAGAATTGTTGTAAAATTCAGAAAAAAATAATAATCTGAGTCATACGTAGTGCTATACTGCCCTCTTGTGTTCAATATCAGGTAAGCCTATTGTGTATATTCCCACCGGTTAATCAACGTGTGACTCCGCTGGGACTTGGGAGCTTTTAAATCGCTTACTTAAAACCGAAAGTCAAAATACGGATGTCCGCACAAGACATTAATGGTGTGGAGTAGAGCGAGCATTTAAAATAAATTCCTATTAAGTAGGATTGAACTAAACAGAAAGAATGTTCACTCTGTTCTGCTGGTTCCTCGCTGGTGGATCATATGATTACTTTGTCATAATCTATGACAAAAATGCTATTATAAACTATATTAATAATAGATAATACACATTGCTCTTATTTTTAAAAAAATACATTCATGAAAAACAAGATAACAAAAATCATAAAAAGATATAGCCATGGCAGCTATAAATGTTTGAAATGCATAGGACAGATGTTTAATGACGCAGCAACATATAATTGAAAGGCAATTAATAATCTGTCATTACGTCACTGCATTATGATATTACGGCTCTAATACGGTGCAGCACAAAGCACTTATGTGCATCCCGAGCGGAGAATGATGTGCTTGAAGCCACATGAAGTTACAGCGCATTGAGTCCGTATTGAAAAGTTCAAAGCATAAAGGAAATACATATTTATGAACAGTGTATTATACATTATATATCTATGCAATAGTTTATTGAGCCTTTTCTTTTAAAGGTTTTAAATTTCAGTTACTGTGTGCGTGAAGAACAATTATAGTGCTCTGACTCTAGTGTTGTGATCTAACCGACAGCGTCTGACACCCGGTAGAAAGTAACACGATTAAGTTACAGCAATAAAGTCCAGCAAGAAAAAGTTTCTTCATTTCGAAAATATAGACCTTTAGACCTTTATCTTAAAGACCCAGTATAATAGGATTAACATTGAATCATCTTGAAGATCGTTTCATCATTGACTGTAACCGAATGCGACGTGCTGTTTGAATGCTGAATGGAGAATGACTGACAGGCGCAGAGAGGGAAAAGTTTACGTGTTCTTGAATTTAATGACTTAAATATTAATTTCTATATCACATAATAGCTTCAGAACACTTATAATACAGTACACAAAAACTTTATGGTACTTTAGAAAGTTTTTGTGCCTTTGTGCCTTACATAGAATAGTATATGCACAATATAGAATTTGAATCAGCCTCGTCAAAGATGGCAGTGTCAGAGCCGATACCGATCCTGAGTATCTAATCGGCGCACTTCTTTTCAACAGTCAAATTGAAATTGAAATTGCTTGAAACTCAACAGATACATCACATTTATTAGCCAGTAGACGTGCAAAGTTTCAGAAACGGGCATGGTGCAAGGACTAAATAGCGCCACCTTTTGACAAAAGTGGGGTTGTTAGTTTTATCTACAGTTACAAAAATCGGTATATACATTTTACTCCTCAAGCCGGACAACTTTCTATTACATAGTCATTAGCTCGGACCAAGAGGAAGTCAGATATTTTGGTTTGAATATGGTGAGCCTCTCTCTGAGCCTACATCCCTGTATGGCAAGCCCTTTTAACATTTAAAAGCTAAGTTTGCCTATCCGGAATTAACATTGTAGATATCAACAACGTCTTTCTGTCTATTCGTAATTACATTTTGGATAGTTTGTATTATCATTTAAGATATCTGTAACATAATTTTGACTAGTCGAAATGACAGAGTATGGCAAGCCGTTTTAACATTTAATCATGAAAGGGCCAAAGCCTTCGGCACCGCCACCCGGGTGCCTTTAGGTAACTAAAGGAACCGGGGTTGCGGTGCCACCGGCTTGGGCCCGCCATCGCTGCTCGCAGCTATATTTATATTTATGATCTTCTTGTTTGCGATTTAACAGTTCCATGCAAGCCAACGGGAATCATCACTGAAATGGAGTGTGGCAGCCACACAGGTGTAGTGTCATGGGAACAAGGGGAGCACGTTGCCTCCTACCTGGTCGTCGCATCCAGTCCAGATGGGCACCGAACACATTGCAGCAGTCCCAACTCCAAGTGCGCATTAGACAGCCTACATTGTGGCCAAGCCTACAACCTCACAATCACTGCCCAGGACAGCCACTGTGACAGCAGAAATGCCCTTTCAACATTACAGTCAGGTTAGGAGTTTTCCCCCAATACTCTTTCATCAACATATTTCCACACAAATGGAGAAAATGACTATTCAATACTAGGGTTGGGAATCGAGAATCGAGTATCGATTGGAACCGAGACTAACTTTTCGTTTTTCCCGGAATCGTTCAAAAGTAAAAATTCCGATTCCTAGTTTCGATATTCACAGTCCGCCGAGCGGAAGAAGAAACCGCTGAACAACACCAACGAAGAAGCGTCTACCGGAAGTGTTGGCATAACCGCGCGAGTCGAACATGAGTAGCTTACTTTGGCGATCCAAAGTGTGGCTTCACTTTTCTAAAAATAACGAAATCTCGGCAAAATGCAAAATTTGTGACAAAAGGAGTATTTTTACAGAAGGATTATTTCCTTCAGAAAGGCCGTTGGTTAGCAAGGTTAGCTAAACTTTTTTGACCCTGCCTCTTAAAGAATCGGAATCGAGAATCGTTTGGAACCGGAATCGAAACAAGGAATTGGAATCGGAATCAGAATCGTTCAAATTCAAACGATACCCAACCCTATTCAATACCAGACCTGTGCCACCATCAGATCTACAAATAGTAGGGCTGTGTTCGAAATCGCGCCCTGTACCCTCATTCACTATCCCCTACATTACTCCAATAAAAAGGAATTTATACCAGTTTGTTATTACGCTGTAGCCACATTGGATCAACGATTTGTAAAATGGATGGAGGGATGATTCATCTTCCGGCGAGACACAGGAAATCATTTGGCGCCACTAACATTGCATTATGGGTATTCTCATTATGGGGATTGCACTCGGGTCGATAACGTCCACTATGGTTTTGGACACCACTACAAATGGCTGTCCCCTCATATAGTGTCCTATTTAAGTCTATGGGGGCGAATTCAAACACAGCCCAGCTTTTCTGATGTAATCAGCTGATTTTAGATATCTGTCTTCGTTGACAAACCCAAATGAACGTCTCTGTGTATTAATGCTTCATCTTTCTCCTCTTCCTCAGTTCCATGTTCACCTGTCAACGTGCAAGCATCTCTCGTTTGCCTGTCTAACTCTGCGGCTGTTACGTGGCAAAGTACCAGCGGGGCGCTGACCTACCAGGCTGAGGGCATCACTGTAGACGGCACCCACACGGCCAACTGCAGCAGCGGCGACGCAACTCACTGCAACCTGGAGCATCTGCTCTGCGGACGCACATATAATGTGTCTGTGCTGTCCATGGACCATGCATGCAGCAGCGAAAGGAGTTTGTTCACACAAGTGCATACTGGTGAGTAGCACACTCAGACTGTTAAAATGATTTCTAAAGTAAGCCATTTGTAGGTTGAGTTTTTGAAAAGTGTAAACCAGTTAGCACCCTGTCACCCAATCAAACACACCCGAACCAGCAAATAAATGTGTTTGCGGTTACTTGGAAATTACAGGCAGGTGTTGTTGGAGCAGGGTTGGAACTAAAGTCTTCAGGAAGGTCGACCACTCTGGTGAAAGTGATTTCACCAAGTACCACATGTTCCTGGATCAACTTTCCAATCAACCAATCAGATTTGAGGGTGAAGTTTACAGTTTATGTCAAGATTAGGCTTATAACCAGGGTGAAGTACTTAAACATCAGTGTTATTCAGCAATCATTACCTTATGATCTTAGGGAAAAGTTATGGGTAGGGTTAGGTTTAGTGGTAGGGATTTGGTAAGGACTACATTTTGGGACCGGAACGTTGATCCAGGATCAACAAAATATGTTGATCCAGGACCATGTCTTACTTGGCAAAATCACGGTGACCAGGTCACTCTCTAGTACCCCTTGCTGGTTCGGAGCCAGAGCCTAGTTTCAAATCGGTTCTTTGTTTTTCGACCACCAAAGCACCAGCTCCGAACCAGTAAAAGTGGTTCTAAAGTAGTAGCACCAAATCATTGCTGGTCTAGAAGTAAGAACCGCTTACGTCAGCGGCTGGGGGCGGGGTTACCGTGACCAACAAGACGAATAGAAACTTGTGACTAATCATGCTAATAGCAGCTCGATGGTAATCTCCGTTAATGCAAGTTACGGCGAGCTGCACGGACGTGCTGGATTCGCCATGTTTGGATACCGATATAATAGTAGTAATGCAAATAGTAACGCAACAACCGCCAATGTCGATGGAAGGCTTGTTCGAGATGCATCGGAGCTGCGGGAGTGTTTGGAGAGTTTACGACTCCTTCTGCTTTTGAATCGAATCTTTTTCTAATGTTTTTCCAAATCGCTCTCGCAGTTCGAGATTCACAGTGCCGAACCATCTCGAACAGGCCTGGTGTGTTTGTGTGTGCCGTGCTAGCGTTGCTGGGCAACATGAGATGTATACGGTGACGTAAGATCTGGCTCTGGCTCTCTAGCCTGTGGAAAGGCAAACCGGTTCTTTGAAAGCTCGTCAGTCGAACCGACTCCGAACCAGCACTAGCTCTAGCTCTGAACCAGCACCTGGTTACTGTTGGTGGAAAAGAGGTATAAGAGAAGGGTTGGAAACCCCTAGTGTGGCAGTACTGTGGCACTTTTGAAGCAGCATTTTCTTTAAAAAAAAACATTACAACGTGTAACATCGACTTCGAGCAGCTTAGAAATGCATCCTGGCAGCCACCATCAAGAACAGATGTATGAAAAGTGCTTTTCTTTTTTTAGCGCCCTGTCCACCTCAGGCCGTTGATGTGCAGGTGAACTGTTCGGCTGGCTTCATGACTGTCACATGGGCAGCCAATCCAGATGCAGAATCTTTCCATGTGAGAGCAGCGAGCAGCGGAGGAGATTTGCTGTCATGTGATTCCACTGGCACCAGCTGTTCAATCCCTGGCTTGCCATGCGGACAGTCATATTCTGTCACTGTGACATCTGTCAGGGGAGGCTGTGCGAGCCAGCCCAGCACTGCCGTCAACGCTACCTCAGGTAACTTTCACAACAACAACACAAAATGACCACTAAACCATTGATATATGATGCAGATATTAGTGATGCGCGGATCACGGTTATATCTGCGGATAATTGTGAGTCGGGTGAGTCAGGTAATAAAATATAACCTTCTGAATTAATTTCGGTTGGATGAGATAAATCATTAACGATGGAAATATTACCGTGTTTAAAACAAGCGGCAACCTTCCGGGCTCTCTCTCGAATCCAACACGGAAGTGACTTAAACTGCAATTCATTGACTGACCTCTAGTGACAGGCTCCAAAAGAGAGACAATCCAATATAATCCCCATGTTAAAATAGACTAATTTTTTTGTAACTCATCCGTTTTTTATTATATTAAAGGGATACTCCACTTTTTTGGGGGGAATTAGGCTCATTTTACAACTCCCCCAGAGTTAAACAGTTGAGTTTTACCGTTTTTGAATCAATTCAGCCGATTTTCTGATATTTAGAAGAATATCAGTAACCAGACAGTTTCTGGTCTCATTGACTTCCATAGTAGGAAAGAATATATACTATAGTAGTCAATGAGACCAGAAACTGTCTGGTTGCTGATATTCTTCTGAATATCAGAAAATCGGCTGAATTGATTCGAAAACAGTAAAACTCAACTGTTTAACTCTGGGGGAGTTGTAAAATGAGCCTATTTACCAAAAAAAGTGGAGTATCCCTTTAAGCCTTAAAGTTCTGCATAATTAAGGGCGTGGCCACTTGAGTGACAGGTGGATTTCCGCCGCCGTCACTACTAGCCGTTTGTCTGATGTCTGTTAGCGTCACGTCACCTCAGCTAATCCTCCTCTTTGCCCATTTTCGTTTATCCGGAAGTGACAAGCTGCCAAGATGGCGACGGCCGGCTCCGCCCACTTTGGGCTTCAAAAACCTACGGCTGACATCACGGACGCTGCGTCCATATTTTTGTACAGTTAATGGTTTAAAGCTTTTTGTTTCATCAGGCACTAATTTGTCGACTCTAAGCTACGCAGATGCAGGGCAAATCAGATCTGAGAGAAGTTTCTAAAAAGGAGAATTAAAAGCTAAAGAAAGGAAATACAATTATAATATGGGGGCGTTTTAGTGAAGTAGCTGGTTATCCAGGACGAACCAAGGGCTGGGTGTGATAGCCTGAATGTAGTAGCTGTTTGTGTATGACAATAAGCTAAAAAATGTGCTTATATCCAGCCTTTGCTTGGGCTGGACATATTTGATTTCTTCTTGATTCCTCCTTGTCACCTGAACAGTACATATGGAGGCCCTAAAGGGACATGGTGGTGGAAAAAATATGAGATGAAAGGAAATAATATATGTCATTGCTTTTGTGTTCTCTCGCAAATAACGTAAAAGGTTTGGAGTTTCTCGTGGTAAAGTAAAACTTTTGCGAGAGAACGCAAAGGCGTATTTTTTTCCCACCACCATGTCCCTTTAGGAGCTCCGTATGTACTGTACCATTAAGACAAGTCATTTCACTCGGCGGCCATCTTTGAAACGCCTCTCGGGCAGCAAGGGCAGCTCTTATCTCTTCGAATTGGGAAATCAGATTCTCTTTTCACCAATGAAATCACCAATGAAATCTGACAACAACTGTCTTATAAATTTAGTTTCTAAACGCTTGAATCATGACAGAAAACAGCTTTGTTCAAGCGTAGTGGAAGCGCGTCTGACTGTTTCTATAGGAACCGGAGCTTCTAACGGCTGCAGTGATGCGATGACTTTACCAATCACCGATTGGCTCTTATTTAGAGGGCGGGACTTGAGCATTGCACTTTTCCCAATACAAGTGACACGTCTTGTGTAATTGTATAGTCTTTGACCATATGTACTGTACTGTCACAGAACGCTGTTAATTTTTTCTGCAAAGGATGCCTTTGTGGAAATGCCCATTGATCCTAGCAAGCTAACATCTTTTATATTTGCATGTCTTTAGCTCCTTGTGTTCCGCAAGGGGAGGCCGGAAACCTGGACTGCGTTACGAACTCAGCCTGGGTGACGTGGTTACAAGCAATGGGGGCGGAGTCTTACTCTGTCCTGGCAGAGGAAAGGGGCGGAGCTAACTCTAGCTGCTCAGCCTCAGGTCTGCACTGCAATGTTCCCGACCTGAAGTGTGGAGCCACCTACACCTTCCACATCACTGCCATCAATTCGTTCTGCCGAAGCGGACCCAGCAACACCTTCCAGATTCAGACAGGTGCAAACACACTCAAACACCCTAGTCTTCCATCCCGCGTGTCAGTCTGTCTTTTTTTATTCGAAATTATATTTACGGTGTATTTATAATCCATTTATTCACTTTTTGAGCATAGACCTGCACACTCTAACTTTGATTTCTCAGTTTGATATCTTTTCAAATAGTACACTTGTCAGATTATTGCTGAACAGAACTTTATGTGTATTATGAAAAATTCACAAAAAAAAACTATTTTAAATTTTTATATGAAATATATACTTTCTAAATCACGCTTTACTCTAAAACGGCAAGAAAATCAAAGCCATAAGTTGTGTTCCAAATTTGAGCTTGATATCTCAAAAAAAAGGAGCTTTCAGTAAGATTTTTGTTTGGCTGCAGTACCAACAGATTTCACTATATAAAATTAATCTCACATTAATTTCCAATGTGGACATTTTTGACCGTGAGATGCACAAGTGTGACTATTTTTTACAGGACCCTCTAATGTTTTCAAATCATGTCCACTGTAGGGGCAGATACAAGCTCACACATCATTGATCTGCTGGCATAATTTACTCATCACCGACTCATGTCCCCTTTAAGAAGACGTTCATGAGAGTTTGGGTGTGGATTAAAGGAGTAGTTCACTTTAAAAAAAACTTTTGCTGATAATTTACTCACCCCCATGTCATCCAAGATGTCCATGTCCTTCTTTCTTCGGTCGAAAAGAAATTAAGGTTTTTGATGAAAACATTCCAGGATTTTCTCCATATAATGGACTTCAATGGGAACCAAACGGTTCAAGGTCCAAAAGAGTTTCAGTGCAAACTGTTCAAAGGGCTTCAAACGACATCAGACGATGAATAAGGGTCTTATCAAGCGAAACGATCGCTCATTTAATAAATAAATAACAAAGTTTAAGTTTTATAAGCTCAAATGCTCGCCTTGCGCTGTTCTGTGTGACTCGTTCATCAAAATCAACGAATCTTTTTCCGAGTCAGTTCATTCGTTTCGTATGTTGAATGAATCAAATGACTCAGAAAAAGATTTGTTAATTTTGATGAATGAGTTCGAACAGGAGAGTCACACAGAACAGAGCAAGGCGAATCGTTTAAAGCCCTTTGAACAGTTTGCACTGACACTCTCATTTGGACCTTGAACCGTTTGGTTCCCATTGAAGTCCATTATATGGAGAAAATCCTGGAATGTTTTCATCAAAAACCTTAATTTCTTTTCGACTGAAGAAAGAAAGACATGGACATCTTGGATGACATGGGGTGAGTAAATTATCAGAAATTTTTTTTTTTAAAGTGAACTACTCCTTTAATTTGCATGATCATTTTTTTGTGTGTGTTCACATAGCAAGTGCCAAAGCCTTTGTACCATTAATAAAACATTATACAAAAACAAAATGTACAATTTTTTGGTCAAAAATGACTGAAAAGCACCTGAGGGTTAAAAATGCTTGTTACCCGAGTCCTGTCCGAGTCCGTGCCGTCTGTCAGTCACTGATCTCTGTCTCTTCTGTCCGCAGCTCCATGTGCCCTCACCTCCATCACGGCACATTCGGACTGTTTCAGCGGCCGTATAACCGTTGGCTGGCAGCTGAATGAAGGATCCTCCTTCTATGTGGCCACAGCTGAAGGTCATGACCAAAGCATTCTGATGTGCAACAGCACAAGCACGTCCTGTGACCTCACCGGAGCCAAGTGTGGAATGCAGTACACCATTATAATCTCGGCGTCCTCCGACAAATGCAGCAGTTTGCGGAGCCCCCCTCTTAAGATGAAAACGGGTACGCATTGAGACGCATTTCATTTGTGTGAGATTTGAGAGCTCATAAAATATACAATTCACACCCACTCCTGTCTATTTAATTCTCTTACAGCACCTTGTGTTCCTCAAAATGTAACAATGAATCCGGTGTGTGACTCAAACGGCATGGTGGCGTCATGGTCCCCCTCTCTGGTGGCCGAGTCGTACTCGCTCACGGCCAGCGGTGGCGACGGAGATGTGCGAAGCTGCAGAAGCACCGCCAACAACTGCACCCTGCTCCACTTGCACTGTGGACAGATTTACAACGTTAGCATAACCGCTTCGGCTGGAAACTGCACCAGCTTGGCCAGTCAGCAGGTCACCTTCCATACTGGTGAGACCACGCATTGACTTTAAAGGGATAGTTCGAAATTAATTTTTGGTGTGTTTTATCTTACCTCAAGGGCATCCAAGATGTAGGTGTCTTTGTTTCCGCAGTATTTTCAATTTTGATATTTTTAGGTCAAACCGTTCTTGTCTGTCAGTCATATAATGGAGGTCTATGGTCACCACCTCAAAGTGCATGCACTGAGAAGTCCAAATTAAACATGATTTAATGACTCGTAAATGTAAGTACACATTGATGGCCTAAGACACGAAACGAGCGGTTTGTGTGAGAAAACCAACAGTATTTATATCGTTTTTACCTCACAGACACGTCCAAGTGATCCGAGGGCGCTTTGTGGCGGTAAAAAAACGATATAAATACTGTTGGTTTTCTCACACAAACCGCTCGTTTCGTGTCTTAGGCCATCAATGTGTACTTACATTTACGAGTCATTAAATCATGTTTAATTTGGACTTCTCTGTGCATGCTCTTTGAGGTGGTGACCATAGACCTCCATTATATGACTGACAGACAAGAACGGTTTGACCGAAAAATATAAAAATTGAAAATACTGCGGAAACAAAGACACCTACATCTTGGATGCCCTTGAGGTAAGATAAAACATACCAACAATTAATTTCAAAGTGAACTATACTTTTAAATGAAAAGCATTACGTCATAAGACGTGAAAGCTGTGACACGCTGTCTTCCTTCTGGTGTGTATAGTGCCCTGTAGGCCGCAGAACATGAGCGTAGCCGTGCAGTGTGACACCAGGACTGCCGCACTCTCCTGGGTGGAGAGCCAAGGTTCGCTGAAGTACTTCACACTGGCCCAAACCACGGATGGACACACACTTCACTGCGACACCACGGGCACGTCGTGCAGCCTCACAGGACTGACCTGTGGGACATTGTACAACTTCACCGCACAGGCTTCAGACGGGACCTGCAACAGCTCCCTCACTGTGCCCATCCAGAGCGGAGCAGGTACTCGATTTATCTGAAGAATATACAATATAAAACCAAAAACATGTTTTACTATGATATTCACATTACTGCAAGAAAATATGTTGCATAAAGAAAATGGCTTCTTGTGACGTTGGTTTCAGGACATTTTCAGTCAAGCACATCATCTGCATATTTGATTGTATTTTTTTTAATATATATTTCAATGTAATGATAATTGGTATAATTATTTGGTTACACTTTATTTTACAGTGTCCTTTACATATGTTACATGTACTTACCATAGTAATAACATGGCTAAGCCACGCCCCCTCCACTCACTCAGTCACAGTTGGAGACATTTCACAGGAGGCAATTGGTGATTTATGGATTATATATCATCTCGAAATCACCAAAAGGGCCTTATAACTATGCATTGGAGGGTTACATTAATAATTTTACTGTTGAAAAGCTTCAGCTCCAGTCAGAGATGTACAGGTCGCAGTGTAAACGTGATAACCCGCATATCGTTGCCATCAGCGTTTGGTGCTACAGTATTTACATACATCATTCAGCACAACATTGTTAACATTTGTTATCTGGGTTATTTACAGATATACGTTAATTAAGCTAATTGACATGATGTAGGCTACAACGCAGCTAGAAGCTAACGTTAATGTTTTCTAATGTTAACGTTACGATCGAGATTTTAAAGATAACATTCAAATACGATGTTGACTTATTTAGAACTTGTTTAATTTATCCATGTTTTATCCAACCGAATAACTTAATCCAGCGCAGACATGTATCTCGGTTGAGATGTGGCTTGGGAAAGGGTAAAATAACACACACCGTCACCCAGCCTCTCGGGAACCTCGTGTCGGAGCTGCATGAACCCCACACACACCGTTTGAGCAGTTTAAACTTAAAATAACAAGAAAAAATGAATGAAAACTGACTAACTGCAATGCATTTCACTGGACGTGGAAGCAGAGATTGTCCGAGTGTATTGGGTTAGCTGCGCACTGTGATTGGCTCATCGCGTTTGAGGGCGTGGCTTAGCCATTCTGCCCTACAAAGCAAAAAGGCAGTAACCGCATTTTTGGTCAAACATTTGTTATTATCATTTTCATGACATTCAAGACATCCTTTGTCTCAATTCAAAATACCTTATCTCAAATGTGTGTCATTCTGCAGAAAAATGGTAGTCGTTTGTACAGTAACTGCAAAAAGCCAGAGTTATAGTCATTTTTATCAGTTCTGCACTCTGCGTAGTTACTGCCTTTTTGCTTTGTAGGGCAGCATAGGTCAATTGCCAAATCCTAACCCTATAGTAAATCCATATTACTCAGTGCTTAAATATATAATTACACTGTTACAAACAAACACACCTTAAAATAAAGTGTAACCAATTATTTTACAGTACGTTATACTGTATACTTTCAATAGTACTTTTGTGGGTAAGTACACTAAGAACTGAGTAATGCAATGGGTTAGTACCTAGTTATTACCAGTTATGATCCATAAATAAAGTGCGATTTAGCTTTATTTTTATTCCAGTTGTAGTCATTTTAGTACTTAAAGATACAACATTTCTAATTTGGTTTGTCATCTACTTTTTATATTTCAGCTTTATTTTAATGTAATAGTTTTGCTATTGCGTGAGCTTAGAATTATAAGGTTCTATCTCCACTTTTGGTCGAAATTGAGTTTTTGACATAATCTGATTTGTTAGGTGTTTATTAATGCCTGTGTGGTGTTATTTTTGTAAAAAAAAAAAAAAAAGATAAAGCTATAATAGAAGATTATACTACATAACAGTTTTGCCAGCTGGGATGTAAAAACTTTGATGCTCAATATCTCAGAACTACCCTAAACGGAGATAGAACCTTATAATTCTAAGCTCACAATTGGTTAACAGTATTAACACTGTTATTAATGAACCCTCTCCTGTAGTCCCCTGTCCTCCTGCCACCGTGAGCGTGAGAACCCATCTGATGGGCGATGCCACCCTAATCAGGGTCTCCTGGGGTTTTGTGGACTGTCCTAACGTCACGTACCTGGTGCAGGTGACCGGCCAAATCCAAGACAACCAGCAGTCCAACATGGACGTGTCGTCCTATTGGACAAACCGCAACTACTTTGAGTTTCCTGTGCCCTGTAGCACCTCTTACAATGTGACGGTGTTAGCACGAAACTCAGCGGGGATCAGCAGACCATCTCAGACTGTTACTGGTGTCACAGGTACCAGACGACAAGTCCATTTTTATTTAACCTCTGTTAAACGTACGGATTTTAAGAAGAATGATGCCATATCAATATCTTCGTCAAGCCAAGATACTAAAGAAAGTGTTTCTAAAACACGTATAGATATACTTAAAGGAGTAGTTCACTTTTAAAAAAACTTTTGCTGATAATTTCCTCACCCCCATGTCATCCAAGATGTCCGTGTCTTTCTTTCTTCAGTCGAAAAGAAATTAAGGTTTTTGATGAAAACATTCCAGGATTTTCTCCATATAATGGACTTCAATGGGGACCAAACGGTTCAAGGTCCAAATGAGAGTTTCAGTGCAAACTGTTCAAAGGGCTTTAAACGATTCGCCTTGCTCTGTTCTGTGTGACTCTCCTGTTCGAACTCGTTCCTCAAAATGAACAAATCTTTTTCTGAGTCATTTGATTCTTTCAACATACGAAACGAACGAACTGACTCGGAAAAAGATTCGTTCATTTTGATGAACGAGTTCAAACAGGAGAGACACACAGAACAGCGCAAGGTGAGCATTTGAGCTTATAAAACTTATTTTTTTAGTTTATTTATTAAATGAGCGATCGTTTTGCTTGATAAGACCCTTATTCATCGTCTGGAGTCGTTTAAAGCCCTTTGAACAGTTTGCACTGAAACTGTCTTTTGGACCTTAAACCGTTTGGTTCCCATTGAAGTCCATTATATGGAGAAAAATCTTTGAATGTTTTCATCAAAAACCTTCATTTCTTTTCGACTGAAGAAAGAAAGACATGGATATCTTGGATGACATGGGGGCGAGGAAATTATCAGCTAAAGTTTTTTTAAAAGTGAACTACTCCTTTAATATAAAAAAACAGACCTTCTCTGTCAAAGAACATCCAACATTTGAAGATAACTCGACTTTGTGTTCTCCTTCAGTGCCCTGTCCTCCGATGAACGTCACCTTCACGGGTGATAATTCCTCCGCCACAGTGGCCTGGAGGTCATCGGTTCTCACCACAGGATTCAGGGTTTACCAGCTGCGTCCCGGCGTCCAGGTGCCCGTCTGTCTGACCTCAGACCTCAGCTGTCAGGTGTCGGGCCTGCTGGCCTCTGATGTCGCGGTCACAGCCTGGAACAGTGCCGGAGAGAGTCCTTCCTCTAGAGTCGTTACTGGTAAGAAATGTTATTCATAACAAAATTCGTTTTTCCCGGGTTCCCGGACCCCTCATGGTTTGTTATTTCTCCCGGGAAACTCCCATAATCCTCCTTTATGAATAATCGGACCAATATGTTTGTCTAATGTTGACCAGTTGCATTATATTCACACTATCCACACACCGTATACAATTTCAACCCATTTGTCATCTCAACCTGGCGACCTATAACCCAGTCGTGGAAAGCTCAACCCGAGCAAAGAAAATGTACTGATGTGCATGAAGTTTGTCTTGAATGCTGCTGTCACTGGTGCAAACTCCTATTTATACAAATTATTAAGAATATTTGACAAATATAATTTTTCTGCAGCCAGTAAGCCCCTCCCCTATAGGCCCCTGTTCAGTAATACTGAAATTCGCCACGCTATAATTATTTTTAATGAACAGAGAAAAATGTAAATATTTTAGAAGCAATACATATTACTTTAAATAAGTGTATATTTGACATGTACATTTTTATTTAATCTTGCATGTGCAAAATGTACATTCACTTGAAGAAAAAAAATCTACTCTGTTTTTCTGAATTAACAAGTTAATTTTTCATGAGAAAAAAAATTGCTCTGTTTTTCTAAATTAGTGGGTTAATTTTTCATGAGAAAAAAATTTTTTTTGCTCTGTTTTTCTGAATTAACAAGTTAATTTCTCATGAGAACAATTTTTTTTGCTCTGTTTTTCTGAATTAATGAGTTAATTTTTCATGAGAAAAAAAAAAATTGCTTTGTTTTTCTGAATTAATGAGTTAATTTTTCGTGAGAAAAAAAGTTTTTGCTCTGTTTTTCTGAATTAACGAGTTAATTCAGAAAAACAGAGCAAAAAAAAAAAAAAAATTCCATGAAAAATTAACTCGTTAATTCAGAAAAACAGAGCAAAAAAAATCCATGAAAAATTAACTCGTTAATTCAGAAAAACAGAGCAAAATATTTTTTTCTCATGAAAAATTAACTCATTAATTCAGAAAAACAGAGCAAAAACTTTTTTCTCATGAGAAATTAACTCATTAATTCAGAAAAACAGAGCAAAAACTTTTTTTCTCATGAGAAATTAACTCGTTAATTCAGAAAAACAGAGCAAAATATTTTTTTCTCGCGAAAAATTGACTCATTAATTCAGAAAAACAGAGCAAAAAAAAAAAAATTCCATGAAAAATTAACTCGTTAATTCAGAAAAACAGAGCAAAAAAAAATCCATGAAAAATTAACTCGTTAATTCAGAAAAACAGAGCAAAATATTTTTTTCTCATGAAAAATTAACTCATTAATTCAGAAAAACAGAGCAAAAACTTTTTTTCTCATGAGAAATTAACTCGTTAATTCAGAAAAACAAAGCAAAAACTTTTTTCTCATGAAAAATTAACTCGTTAATTCAGAAAAACAGAGCAAAATATTTTTTTCTCATGAAAAATTAACTCGTTAATTCAGAAAAACAGAGCAAAATATTTTTTTTCTCACGAAAAATTGACTCATTAATTCAGAAAAACAGAGCAAAATATTTTTCTCATGAAAAATTAACTCGTTAATTCAGAAAAACAGAGTAGATTTTTTTTTCTTCAAGTGAATGCAATACGCCTCCGTAAAAATGAAATGATGTATTAACACAAATCTTTTACAGGCCAAACCTTAAACCGTCGGAAGAGAAATCTGAAGTATGCGAGGATGAATGCAGCACTGTCTCCCGGTGAGATCAACACACACACAGCTTACGGCACAATAATTAAGAGCCGTTTGGACACACAGAGCAATATATAAAAAGTATTGTATAAAATATACAGTGTGATAACACATTCTACTTTCTATAGTAATAACAGTAAATGATGCATAATTCCATGAAACTTACCTACGAAACTCTATTCCTACACATTGTACATGTTGTTAATTACAATTGCTCAGGACATGTATAAATGTGTAATTACGCCGCACAATTACACAGGAAAAAGGACACCTTAAAATAAAGTCTGGCAAAATACAAGACTTTAAACATTAGTTGAGGATGAGAATGATTTTCATAAAGTTTAAGGTGGGTGACTCTCACAAAAACATATTCAGGGCATATTTTCAAACTGTAATTGTCATGGCAAACATTGATTTGTTATTTGTAGCACCATCTTGTGGCGGTTTGGTGTAACAACAAACTGAACACGGATAACTGTGAACTATTTTCGGTAACACTTTACAATACGGGTGCATTAATATGCATTAATTCATCCTTAACTAATGCACAGATAATCAGAGTTAATGTATAACTAATGAAGAACTAAACCATTAATTAATGATTACTGCATCAGCAACTAATAAAGAGTCTATATGATTAATAGATTAAGTAATACATGAATTGCTATTAATTCAATGTGTCATTGTGTATTAATTGCTTAATAACATGTTTTCTTAACTAATAGTGTAACTTAATGTGTTAATTACCACAATTAGTCAAAGCTATGCACTTCAACTTCCAGTTGTCTGCTTTAATTAATCATTAGCTAATGATTTGCAAAGGTATCATTATGTTATGACTTTACTTGATGGGACACATCATTATTAACTAGTCATTTAGTAATTGTAGTAATTTGCACATGAATTTGCACTAACAATGAAGTAATTAATCATGTATTAATGCATATTAGTGTACCTGTCATATTATCTGGAAGTTGAAATACAAGGCGTTGGCTCATTCTGGTAATAACATATTAATTAATGAGTTATTATGGAATTAATCCACAATTACATATTTAATTAATAACAATTTATGTATGAACTAATACATTAAACCTACAGACTCTTAATTAGTTCCTAATGTGGTAATCATTAATGACTAGCTTAGAGACAGTAATCATTAGTTACACATTAATTCAGTATTATCTGTGCATTAGTTAAGCATGCTTATTAGTGCACACGTATTGTAAAGTGTTACCCTATTTTCTTAGTGGTTGGTTTGGATCATGTGACTTAGACTTTGGTTTGGTTAGTGTTCAGATTTGATCAAGAGATCTCGTTACGTTTTGTGCCTTGCCTTGGAGACCCATTGCTTTTATTTACAAAAAAGAAAAGAAGAGGAAAGTGCATAAGAGTAAAAACCTCAACTTTAGTCCTGCGTCTGACCTTTTCTGGCCCCTGTTAGCTATCTGTCAGTTTGGGACAAAATAGTAATGTCTGGATGTTTGTGTTTTTCACATGTGCATTGCACATCTTCTTTATAGAAAACTGTGATACAATGTTTAAAAAAGTACAGTACACCCATGAATATATAGATACAGTATATAGATATAGACAATATAGGTATTGCTGTGGTGAAATGTTTTCTGGACATGTTCTTATAGCATTATATAGCAAACTGAAGTCTAATCAGATGCTGTTGCCTCTACAGACCCCCTGTCCATCCCTGAGGTGAAGGCTGCTCATGTGACAGGACAGTCCCTGCAGGTCGAGTGGTCTCATGTGACAGGGGCGGACTCCTACACCCTGATCCTAACAGAGGACACCCCGTCTCTGCCTGCCGAGGAGGTCCTGTCGGTGTACAAGACCGAGATCGCCACAGTTGCTGACCTAAAACCTGCAACACGTTACTGTGTCATCGTGTCTGCCAAACACGGCAGCATCCAGAGCGCCTATTCCCGGCCTCTGTGTGTCACCACGGAGTAAACTGGCCTCCCGCCGGGTCGACTGTACAGGAGTGTAGATACCAAATCAACAGAAGCGGCATTCAGTTCTCCTGAACTAGCGTCTTCTCTTTCTTATGTTCCATGATCACTATGAAAAAGAAAACAAAATCAGCCTATCAGAAAATATCATTTAAAATCATAATCCTTTCTAATGAACAAATGACTAAATTTCTGTGATGTTGATTGAAAAGCAAAGGCAAGGTCACTTCAAATTTAGAATAGATGTTAAGAATCGCTACATTGATTGACCGTAGAAGAAACATGTTGTAACTCCTAGTTTTTTATTTATCTTTAAAAGTACTTTTCTGTAACCAGATCATACAATGATTCAATCTTTATGTAGTTAGATCAAATAAATGGTTAATTTATCAAGCATTATTTTTAAACTATACATTGTATTTTCTATCTGATGTATAGCTTTGTTAACAATCTGCAGAAGTACTTTTATACAAAAAGCCATATGAAAGAATTAAAGTCTGTGAATGAAAACGTCAAACATTTTGGTTCAAATGAAGAGACAAGTGATGTACTTCATCTTTTCTTTTAAGCCCCTGTTTCTTTTCTTCTTTTAAAGTCATGTTGCATGATTTTTCTTTAACAATCTGAAATCAAGATATCACCCCATTCATGCCTTGATTCGAAATTTTTGACTTGTCCTGGGTTTTGCCATTCACCGTCTCCAAGAGCCGCCAAAATGTTAAAAGTGGTTGCGGCCACTTTGACTAAAATGACTATTACTTGTGACCAGAATTATGTTTTTACTAAACTCGACACACATGAGTTAGGGCTCATTCTGTGGTCGCATGAAAAAGCATGTGGCGACTGGCCACCTGGTGGCACTATAATATGGAAAAAAAACATAAACATGGCTACAACTACACAACCCTAAGTCTGATATACTTGAAAATGCAGTGTCTTTGTCCAAAGTGCCATGATTGTCTATGAGGACATTGGCGCACCTCAAAAAAATGGCCGCCATTTTTCAATGAAGTTTGAGTACCTATAGACCTCATGCACCAGAGAAACGTGGGCGCCGTCATCTTTAGAATATTGTCTTTGAACTTCCAGTTTTGCGGTCGCTCTGTATATTTCTATGGCATCGCTGTTGAGGAGTAATAGCTGGTGAAGTGGATTTACTTATTGTAGAGTTAACAAAAGTTTTTTTGAAAGCAATCGACCACTAGGGGGCACTAATGAGTTTTACTTCTCGAAATCACATGGTGTTACACATATACACACAATATGCATATCATCTGTTAGCTCTCCCCATACTGAACAAATTTGCCTCAAGGACTAAATTGATTGCCTCAATCAAATTGTTCATTGAGTAAATGTGATTATCTGACTTTTGCAAACCACTGCGGCACAATTCGGACTCTCTATATGGATAGCTATATCAGGGTCATTTAGAAAAAGCCTATAAATCCTTAACAATAACTCTAAACTTCGTGATATTAGCACATGCAACATAAGATTCTAAACAAGCATGCAAACTTTTATTGAGATTGGATCATAGGTGGCTCTATGACTGTTAAAAAGCTTTAAAAAACATGTATTCCCTAAGGTAAATTGCCTGTATTGGCTGTAAATGTTTTTTTCCATATATGATCTAACTGGTAACATGCTTGCTAAATAAAACATAATATATTTTTACGCATGTTCTTAAAGGCCTGATTGAGCTTGAACCAGTTAATTGCTGCTTAAAGCTATATTTAAATCAGTTGTGTCAATTTAATTAGCGTATAAATCTCAGCAATGGTGACAAACAGATCACCTCTGAACATAAGCTCATTATTTATTCATACAGCAATGCATGATGAAAAGTCATATATTCCAAAGCATTTGTGAAGAAGACACAACACACACAACCTTGAGGCGGATAGGCTACAACAGCGGAAGACCCCACCGGATACCACTCATCTCCACTACAAATAGGAAAAAGAGGCGAAAATTTGCAAGAGCTCACCAAAACTGGACAGTTGAAGACTGGAAAAATGTTGCCTGGTCTGATGAGTCTCGATTTCTGTTGAGACGTTCAGATGGTAGAGTCAGACTTTGGCGTAAACAGAATGAGAACATGGACCATCATGCCTTGTTCCCACTGTGCAGGCTGGTGGTGGTGGTGTCATGGTGTGTGGGATGTTTTCTTGGCCCACTTTAGGCCCCTTAGTGCCAATTGGGCATCGTTTAAATGCCACGGCCTACCTGAGCATTGTTTCTGACCATGTCCATCCCTTTATGACCACCATGTCCCCATCCTCTGATGGCTATTTCCAGTAGGATAATGCACCATGTCACAAAGCTGGAATCATTTCAAATTGGTTTCTTGAACATGTCAATGAGTTGACTGTACTAAAATGGCCGCCAGTCACCAGATCTCAACCCAATAGAGCATCTTTGGGATGTGGTGGAACGGGAGCTTCGTGCCCTGGATGTGCATCCCACAAATCTCCATCAACTGCAAGATGCTCTCCTATCAATATGGGCCAACATTTCTAAAGAATGCTTTCAGCACCTTGTTGAATCAATGCCACGTATAGAATTAAGGCAGTTCTGAAGGCAAAAGGGGGTCAAACACAGTATTAGTATGGTGTTCCTAATTATCCTGTAGATGAGTGTATATGGCTTTGTGGTTCAGTCTCACTTCTTTCTTGTTGTTCAGTAGGTTCTTAAATTTCATTGATATTTTGGCTAATTTTCAAAGTTTCTCCACACCTTTTGTTTTTACCACAAGCATCCTGGGGCTCGTTCTTCGTACGTCGCTAACTCAGTTAGCTGGATTTGATTGTTGGCGATTTGCCATGATCTTGGATCGTTTGGTTCTTCGACGCTCATCCTGGACTTGCTGTCATAGCAACAGGTCCGTCAGCTTGAACCTGCTCGCGAGCAGGCTTATTTCATGTAAACAGGATTAGATCACGGCTGATACGGAAGTCCTTCAGCGCAGCGCTATAGTGTAGCTTAATTTCTGAGATTTATTTTTGTTTTCTCGTGAAACGATCGTCGTGAGGGTGTCGTTTAAATACATTATTATTTTGTTGGAAATGCACATTAATGTTCGATTCGATATCGGGCTTCAACAACAGCACAAAATGTTTGCATTGCCCTAAAATTATTTGCGAGTGGCTTCCTTTACACTATTGGAGATGCGGAGAAGCTTTCTGTCATGCCATTCGCAAAGTAACGTTAGTGCTCTTAGTTTTTTTTTTTTTTCTTTTTTTTTGCCAACTTAGGGTAGGCTATATTATAATTTTTAATGAAGATAATGCAATCATGATGACCATGCCGATTATGACTTACAGTCCCTCAGGCTTAACTTACGTGATTGGTGCCATACACTGATACACACATGTTCCCATCAAGTCCTCAATGAAGGGATTTTGTGAGCAGAAAGGGGGCTTATACAGTGCAGCCAAATTACTATTACAATTTTTAATATTCCAGATTTGGAATATTATATCACTTTTTTTAAAAGGCATTTGACTGAGTCAAATCTTTTAGATGGTGTGTGACCATGTTCTATATCACAAATCAGTGTGAAAGCAAAATGGCCAGGATCTGTGCATGACTCAAGAAATTTAAGAGATTCACATTTATGAACATTATTTGAACATGGTAAGGAAAATTATAAATATCAAACTCACGGTATTACATACACTTATGCTGAGAACTGCATTTTTCCATTAAACAGGTGATTACAACAGGATCCTGCATGGAGACAGGTGTTTTATGACCCCATTCCCTGACCCAAACCCCAGACCAGTTACAATGCAGCTCTAGGACAAGGGCACACAATGACATGAGCTTTGGCCTATAAAGGGAAGATTTCAGGGTCTGAAAAGCCTGAGGGTTGCACCTGACAGGGCCTGTGACATTGCATGTGCCATATTACACAACACTGCCAACATCAGAAAAAGAAAAGAAAAAAAGTTTAATTAAGCCTAAAATAAAAGACAAGACAAATTTGCAAAACTCTGTTTACTTAGAGTTTTATTTCAATAGTTCTTTGTAAAGAAAAGCCAGTTATTCAGTCATCTTTTAAAAAGATATTATGCAAGGTCAGCAATAGTACTCTGTGTGATTTTACTCTGAAGTTTATTTTGAAGCAACTCTATTTCTAGTGCAATTTTTTCTTAGTCAAGTTCTGTTTCTCCCCCTGGGGCTCGTTCTTCGTACGTTGCTTAAAACATCCGAGATCAAATGAGACATCCAAGATGATATCATCGTGCTAATCATGATCCGGCTAATTGGGTTCTTCGAACACACCTGTTGTTTATGATTAGTATCGCTGGATTGAGTTATCTGAGATAACTGCGCGTTCTCGCGTTGGTTTAAAAGGGGACATGTATCGATAGCAGAACCAGTGATCAGCAGCGCTGCTATTGGCTGTTCAGCATGGCCAAAGAACACGCCCAGTTTTTCTCCCAAGCAGAGCAAGCGCTTTTAATGCAAGGTTATGCCGAATTTCAGTCTTTAATTAAAACGCCAGGAACACCTCAAAGTGTGCAAAAGCCAGGAGAGAGTGCTGGCAAAAGTAGAAGACAAATTAAATGCGTTTGTGGTGGCCATGTTAGATGTTTTAATAACTTATTATTATTATTATTATTATTATTTTATTTTTATTTTCATAATTTCATAATTACTTTGTTCATTGTAATGTCGAGTCACCACACTATAATAATGGACATGGTGAAAGTGAAGTACAAAAATATTCTACTTAGGCCTAATGGTAATTTTACTAGGCCTTATAGGCCTACTAGTCTCTTTTAAAAAGGCACTGTTAAATAAATGATTGTCTGTTTATAAAAGCAAACAGGAAAAAGGCTGAGAAAAAAAACTAATAATGATGCTCCTGACCCTGGCAGAAGAGCTGACCCTTGGGTTGGATGTGAATTGCCCTGTTGTGAAGGGCATCCCTGGGTTCAGCTCTTCCAGACCCACATCAGGGACCAGTAGCAGCAACACCTACATCACTGGGAAATGAGATTTAAATTATCTTTGTACACTGTGAAATAATTTGCTGCTGCATTAAATGAAGTAGACCCATAATGCAAATTGGCTGGTTTAGTCATTTCAACTGTTAAATCTTGAGTAATGATAAATTGCTTTGTCTTGTGAAAGTAAAAACTGATAAACTTATGTTAATGTAAAAATATTTTGCCATGAGTTATCAATCACATTGCACTTGAGAGTGAAGAAAACTTCAGATGACTGTCCTTTTGAGGAAGTACTTTAATTGAATTGATGGCTTTAATTGATTTCTACTTGTGCCTATGCCTATTATTTCTGACAGGAGTCCACATGTACAGAAAGGCCTACAGAAGAGTCTGCACACAGCAGTGATACAGGGGTGGGCAGTGTAGACAACTTTTCCTTTTTATTTGTTGCATTAGGCATGTGTGACACAAACGACACTGGGTTAAATTCGTTCCCCATTTGAGTCTTCAACAGAAAATAGAATATTTTGAAAAAATAAAAATCAGGGGGAGAAATAACTTGACTAAGTTGCAATAGAAATAGAGTTGCTTCAAAATAAACTTCAGACTTAAATACACTATTTCACACAGAGTACTATTGCTGACCTTAATATCTCTTAATATCTCTTGACCTTAAAATATGACTGAATAACTGGCTTTTCTTTACAAAGAACTATTGAAATAAAACTCTAAGCAAATAGAGTTTTGCAAATTTGTCTTGTCTTTTATTTTAGGCTTAATTAATTTTTTTTTCTATGTTTCTGATGTTGGCAATGTTGTGTAATATGACTGGTCTGGGGTTTGGGTCAGGGAATGGGGTCATAAAACACCTGTCTCCATGCAGGATCCTGTTGTTATCACCTGTATAATGGAAAAATGCATTTCTCATCGAATCGAACATTAATGTGCATTTCCCACAAAATAAAGTATAAACGACACCCTCACGACGATCGTTTCACGAGAAAAAAAAATAATCTCAGAAATTAGGCTACACTATCGTGCTGCTCTAAAGGACTTCCCGTATCAGCCGCGATCTAATCCTGTTTACATGAAATAAGCCTGCTCGCGAGCAGGTTCAAGCTGACGGACCTGTTGCTATGACAGCAAGTCCAGGATGAGCGTCGAAGAACCAAACGATCCAAGATCATGCCAAATCGACAACAATCAAATCCAGCTAACTGAGTTAGCGAGGTACGAAGAACGAGCCCCTGATTTTTGTTTTTTCAAAATACTCTATTTTCTGTTGAAGACTCATATAGGGAACAAATGCAACAAATAAAAAGCAAAAGTTGTCTACACTGCCCACCCCTGTATCACTGCTGTGTGCAGACTCTTCTGTAGGCCTTTCTGTACATGTGGACTCCTGTCAGAAATAATAGGCATAGGCACAAGTATAAATCAATTAAAGCCACCAATTCAATTAAAGTACTTCCTCCAAAGGACAGTCATCTGAGAAGTTTTCTTCACTCTCCAGTGCAATGTGATTGATAACTCATGGCAAATTATTTTTTACATTAACATACGTTTATCAGTTTTTACTTTCACAAGACAAAGCAATTTATCATTACTCAAGATTTAACAGTTGAAATGACTAAACCAGCCAATTTGGATTATAGGTCTACTTCATTTAATGCAGCAACACATTATTTCACAGTGTACAAAGATAATTTAAATCTCATTTCCCAGTAATGAAGGTGTTGCTGCTACTGGTCCCTGATGTGAGTCTGGAAGAACTGAACCCAGGGATGCCCTTCACAACAGGGCAATTCACATTCAACCCAAGGGTCAGCTCTTCTGCCAGGGTCAGGAGCATCATTATTAGTTTTTTCTCAGCCTTTTTCCTGTTTGCTTTTATAAACAGACAATCATTTATTTAACAGTGCCTCACTAGTAGGCCTATAAGGCCTAAAATTACCATTAAGTAGAATATTTTTGTACTTCACTTTCACCATGTTTATTATTATAGTGTGGTGACTCGACATTACAATGAACAAAGTAATTATGAAATTATGAAAATAAAAATAAAATAATAATCAGTTATTAAAACATCTAACATGGCCACCACAAACGCATTTAATTTGTCTTCTACTTTTGGCAGCACTCTCTCCTGGCTTTTGCACACTTTGAGGTGTTCCCTGGCGTTTTAATTAAAGACTGAAATTCGGCATAACCTTGCATTAAAAGCGCTTGCTCTGCTTGGTAGAAAAACTGGGCGTGTTCTTTGGCCATGCTGAACAGCCAATAGCAGCGCTGCTGATCACTGGTTCTGCTATCGATACATGTCCCCTTTTATACCAACGCGAGAACGCGCAGTTATCTCAGATAACTCAATCCAGCGATACTAATCATAAACAACAGGTGTGTTCGCAGAACCCAATTAGCCGGATCATGATTAGCACGATGATATCATCTTAGATGTCTCATTTGATCTCGGATGTTTTAAGCAACGTACGAAGAACGAGCCCCTGGTGACAAACTTAGTGATACTGAACTGGGCTGAGAAACGCAGCCCTGATTGGTTGGCTATAATTTGGATTGAAGAAAATAGAAAAGCGGCGCTTTGCAGACCGATTGGTTTATGACTTCAATGTACCGGGAGAGTGAATTTAAAGAGCCCCTATCATAGCATTTAAAATGTTCCTATTTTTGTTTTAGGAGTTCCCAAAAACAGTTTAACATGCATGCAAGGATAAAAAACACTTTATTTGTCTTATAATATGCATTTATTTTTAACTGATTTGCTCACCGACTCCCAAATGATTCGTACAATGACTCATTTTTCCAAACCACTCCTTTGCGTGACGCTAATCGGCTAATCGGTAAATAAAACATATTGATAAAGCACTGCAGTACTACAAGACGCTCTATTCTTTATGACAACTCCAATAACAGCGACAAACATTTCACATATTTAAAAAAAATTGACATTGGAGACCTAGAAGCTGCGCTGAGCGTAATTTACACACACGCGCGCACACACATATTCCCTCCTCGTGCCCCGACGCTACAAAACCGTTCAAAACCCATAAAATCAACAATTATTAATAATACTTACAGGTTTTGATTCGGAGGAGGAAGCTGATCCATATACACTGGGTAAGTACTGAGCCCTCCTTCAGGAACAACTGCTTGCGAATCCACATTTGAATTCATTTATGTTTTTGAACTAACATTATTCGTCAATAAAATGATGAGAACACAATCAGGCTATACTGTTGTGGTATCATGTTGTGTACTGTTGTGGTAGCAAATATGAACTCTAAGCACCGATTCTTCACATGCTCGTCCCTGGTAAATGAAAACAAAGTGGCTGAACTATCTTTGCATTGTAGAGCACAGCGTCTTCTCGACATGATGCGATGATGAAGTATTTGAGTGTGTAGACTTCAAGTTTACACTTCCGTCTGCACGCGCAGTAGTAACTGGGCGCGACCAGTATGCATCTACGTCACGACGAACCAGCTAATGACTCGTTTCAAAAACAATTCATTTCATAGACTCAGAGTCGACTCTCACTTTTGAAAGACAATAACTTTATATACGGTGCACTTTCAGATATAAATCTTTGTAGGATGTTTTCATTCCCTTAGAGCTATATTCCACACCATATGAACAGACATTTTCAAAAATCCATGATAGGTGCTCTTTAAAGCATACAGAGCCATCTCTCTCTCACGGTACTTTAATGTCATACACCGATCGGTCTGCACAGGGCCACAAACTGTCATGTAAATATCTATTGTTTTAAATAATACATGATTCTTTAATTTGATTCTTCAATTTTTCTCTTTGACTAGCAATTAAAAATAAATAAATAAATAAAAATCAAGCAGGCCTGTGTTCATTGAATATTCTGTAGCCTATGTCATCTAATCATTAAATAAATTAATTTGTACATAAATAACATTTGTAGGCTACACATAAAATAGTGAATTAATTTGTAAAGTATCTCTCGTTTTATACATCTATTAGGCTAAGTTATAAAAAGTCAGTGTGGGGGAAAAATATGGCAAAATTGTAACACTTCATTTTATATATTAGTTAAATGTAATTAAAGAGACACGATAAAACAATAGCTAGGCTTTCTATCTACTCGCTTACAAATGCCAAAAATCATTCAACCTAAAATGAGCCATCAACCCCCAAAATTCGTATAGTAGTCCTTTACACAATGATAAGAAGAATATAGGGGAAATAATTAACAAAAAATCACAGAAATATCAAACGCAAACATTTCCATTAACTCTAATCCGGCCAAAATAAACCTAACGTCATGACGCACATTTTATTTTGCGTGATGATGTCATCGGCGCGCGTCCCAGCCGGGTTGAGTATTTTTGGACAGGACAAACGGTGATGATTGTGTACAATATCATACAGCAGTGTGCTAAAGTGTCCCGTTTCACCGCAAAACCGGACAAGTGTAAAGCACGCGAGGGACGTGAGTGAGGATCGCGGGGAGTTAGTTGACATACATAGTCTGTGGGAAGGTGAGTAGTTTGTTTATGTTGACTGAAGGCAGAAAGTTGAGCTAGCTAATATAGGCTAACCTCTTTAGAAAATAATGAAAAAAGTGAAACAAAGTTAAACATCAACTAAATAAAGATCAAAATCACACTACTGCCATCACGAGGGCACTTCTTAACTCCTTTCTGCTCTGTATGAAGTGTCATTAAGTTTTTGTGGTTGCTTAAGGTTATCATTTCTGTCAAATATCTGCTTACCAACTTATTGTTTTGTAAACATTAAAACTAGTGTGTGTCGAGGAACTTTATGAGTAAGTTTATGAAGCTTTAAAGATTGTATATTTTCGGTTCAGGTTTAATGTGGTGTGTCATTGGTTAAAAGACTTGTAGGACAGCAGCAACACATGAGTAAAGTGGGCCAGTTTTGTTTATGCTAACTAGGAAGACTGTTGGATAAAATCAAGACAGCAATAAAGCTGGAGGCAGGAGTCTGCCAGGAGCTCCAGAGAGGTTTCATTATTGAGTAATGCTTGTTTCAGGGCAAGGTTCAGTAACCTCAGTGATAGAAATGACAACCACAGCTGTGGGTCTCAAGATGTCACTTATCGTGGATATTTTAAACTTTACTTTCCCAGCTTTCTTTCATAAGGTGTCGCAGAATAACTTCAGATAAATGTGGGCGGCTTATTTATTTTGAAATGATGGTAAAAGTGTCCCTGATTTAAAGTAATGCCACTATGTGAGCACTCATTTAAAAAATAAAATAAAATAAATAATAATCTAACAGCATCCTGAGCATTGGATGGCCTGTCATACATTTGAAGACAAATAATGTTGAACCCTTAAATTATTTAATTGTTGGTCTATTTGCACATGACAAATAAAGCTTCAAAGCAAAAAATATTTTTTTTTAAATTTATGTAATGCATATTTTTGAGTCGGGAATGATGGATTTAAACAAGTTTCAATTGTTAAATAAATCTTTAAATAAATATATTCATAATATTATTTATTGGTGGTGAAATCTTAGCAAAGTAACCCTTAGAGGCTCTACAGTGCATAACACGTTAGTGTTTTGTGGTTATCATATTATTTTAAAATTATTGCATCCCAGTGGCCAGGTATTTTGTATCTTTAGCAGCTGGTTTTACTTTTAAAAACAGAATAACTACCAGTATTATACAAGTATACAAGTAATGCGTTTAATACAATAACTATCTAGTTTTCAGACATTTGTTCAGTTTCACCTATTATTTGATGGTTTAAATCAAGAATTTGCATGGTTGCACCACCTGATGAATATCAACTCACAACATTATGACATTAATAATGCCAGAATATGCTGAATACTGATCCCCCATTTCAATTACATATAAAATGTATTAATAATAGAATTTTTTTAGTCAACAGACTTTATTGTAAAGTAGTAAATTGAACAAAAACAAAATAAATCTCATGACATCACATTAAGAATGAAGGAACTGGAAAAGGCTACACTATAGATAGAATAGAATAAGTGTTAGAAACACTGTAATCAATTGTGATTGAATAACAAAGTTATGTTTTATATTGATACAAAAAGAATAATCATATTTAGTCAGTAGAGAATACTATTTTTACATTGGTTGTACCACTTGACATGGAAAGTGTACCAACCTACCCATACATGAAAATAGCTATTTTTATCAGTATTTGAGAGAGATCTACAAACCTTTTCTCTTTGAGAATCAGCTGGTCTCATCTGGAGCATTATCATTATCAGCATTATCATGCTGACTGTTATTTCACTTCATAATAAAAGACCCATGATTAAAGTTGTCCCTGGCAAAACTTTTTTAATGGTCTTAAAAGCTTTAAATCTACTGATATTTACAATTTGTTTATATGAAAGGTTTCAAACATAAAATGACGCCATAATACTTTATTTTGAATTTCTTCTTAAGGCACAATTTTAAATAATTTTTTGTCTGTCTGTTCATTTGTGTGGACGGTTGCGCCACCTGACATTTTGGGGGGTTTAATTTCAAACTAGAATAATTTATCAAATTATTTTAAAAGTTTAAAATAATAAATTATTTAATTTCATGCACTTGGGGCTAGGGTTGGGTATCGAGAATCGAGTATCGATTGGAACCGAGAATAACTTTTCGTTTTTCCCGGAATCGTTCAAAAGTAAAAATTTCGATTCCTAGTTTCGATATTCACAGTCCGCCGAGCGGAAGAAGAAACCGCTGAACAACACCAACGAAGAAGCGTCTACCGGAAGTGTTGGCATAACCACGCGAGTCGAACATGAGTAGCTTACGTCGGCGATCCAAAGTGTGGCTTCACTTTTCTAAAAAATAACGAAATCTCGGCAAAATGTAAAATTTGTGACAAAAGGAGTATTTTTACAGAAGGAGTATTTCCTTCAGAAAGGATTATTTCCTTCAGAAAGGCCGTTGGTTAGCAAGGTTAGCTAAACTTTTTTGACCCTGCCTCTTAAAAGAATCAGAATCGAGAATCGTTAGGAACCGGAATCGAAACAAGGAATCGGAATCGGAATCAGAATCGTTCAAATTCAAACGATACCCAACCCTACTTGGGACACAACAATATTTACATCATGTCATTGACCAAAATGCAGATGAACGTTTTTTTTCGCCATGAACTAAAAGATTTTTAAGATATTGTCAAGTCAAAAAAAAAAAGAAAAGAAAAAAGTAAATAGCCTACTTCAAGAAAAGTTTTAAAAATGTGTCTTAGGATTCCTGTGCTGTCCTCTTTCCTGTTTGTGTCTACAGGACATTACACTCTTAAAATGCTGGGTTGTTTCAACCCTAATTTGGGTCAAATATGGACCCAATGTTGCCTTAAAAATTTAATTAAAACATTTACAGTTGAAAGTGAAAGTTGAAATTAATTAACCCAACATTTGGGTTTGTCCATATTTGACCCAAATTTGGGTTGAAATAACCCAGCATTTTTAGAGTGTATGTTAATGGGAGGCTAGCTGTTCAAACTACGCAGCTACTAGTCAATTTTAAAAAATTTGTAGTTTTGCACGCCACAAGAACGTTCCTATCGAGAGTTAGTTAAGATTTAAAATATTACATTTAGAAGTTGATGTCATACTACAAAATTCACTTACTATACAGCCTGCATGTCCAGGAATCTAATCTCAGTCTTTCTCTTATTGTTTTGCAGTGGTTGAGACTGCTCTTTTGCATCTTGCTGCTGTCATCTTAAACAATGGAGGAGCCCCATGTTCACTGCATGTCCTGCATAAGCAGGCGATGCATGGTCAAGCCTGAACCCGGCACCTCCTGTGACCTCATCACCTGCCCTCTCGTATGCGGTGCCATCTTCCACAGCTGCAAGGCTATTGAACACAAGCTGCTGTGCCCGCTTGAAAGGGTGCCATGTCTTAACCACAGCATCGGATGCCCTTTTACCCTGGCCCGTGGCCAGATGGCGGAGCACCTCGAGGTGTGTCCTGCAGGTGTGGTGTGCTGCACCATGGAGTGGAATAGGTGGCCAGTGAATTACGAGGACTATCGTTCGTATGAGCGACTGAGTCAAGAAGCAGATGAGGTGGAGCAGCTTGACATGGCGCTCGCCCTTCAGGACCAGCGCACCATGCTAGCATCACTTAAACTCGTCTCTCTGGCTCCCACTTGTGGACCAGAGAAAAGGACTCAGGCAGTAGGACAACGTGAAAAGCCTGGTCTAGTCTCAGTTGCTCAGGTGGAGGACATTGAGATGGAGCCTACGGCTGGCTGTTCAAAAGACAAGATTTCCAATGGGATCAATGGTCTAAAAGAAGAACATTACGGGGGGCTCTACCAAACCACGGTGGAGACGACCAAAAGCCTGGCCGCAGCTCTTAACGTCCTGATCCACCTCAATTCTTCTGAAACAGACTGTACAACTACTAATGCGTCAGCTGCACTTCCAGAGCGCAATGGGGAACGGCATGAGAAGGTGAGGGTGAGAGAAGACGCCGCGTTCAGCTGTGATAAAATAGCCAGTGGAATCAATGGCCTAAAAGAGGACCTCCAGCCTCAACAGCACCAGAAACTCATGGAACTTGGCAGGAACTTGGCCTCTGCGCTCGGTGCATTAGGAGATGTTGTCAAAGGCACAGAGACAATTAACGAGAATGGTAAGCAATCAGAAACGGTGGAGTCTGTTGATATGAAGGACGTTACTTCGGAGGTTGATGGTGAGCCTGGGGCTGTTGGGGGATTTGATGGTGGAGAAGCCACTGTAGCTCATGAGGCAGCAGATGAGTGCTGCCCACTCATGCTAGGGGACATAGATAGGCAAGGTTTCTGTAATGGTTCCCATAGTATTGTAGATGAAATGATGGAATCGACCACAGAACACCATCAAAATCCAGAGTCCCGAGGTTCTCGAGAGTTTGTCGGTCCTTTAGTTCCTCATAGACCAGAGATCAGACATGACCAACACGCTTTCTTGATCCAGGAGGCCTCTGGATCACAAGCCCCATTGCTGCAGCAGCCTATACATGCTCAGACTTTGACCGTCCAGAGGGACAACGTGCTACCTGTGATGGCATTAGACTTTGAAGATAGGGCTTTTGAGAGGAAACTCCAAAACCTTCAGTTGCTGCGCAATTTTATGCCACTTGCACTTAACGGACGGAAGGGGTCGTTTACCGAAGGGTTTCCCTATAGGAATCCACGATGCAAAATGGAGGACAAAGCTGTGGACACATCAGATTTAGATCAGGAGCCGGTGGACGACCCCATGGGACTGGGCGAAATTGACTTTACGGCGGCAGCTCTTCTGTTCTGCCTGGAGGAGTCGCCACGGGCTCGGAGGATATCCGACACGGTCTATGCGTTTGGCGGTACGCGTGTTGACTTCGGCACCCAGACGTTTAGTTTCCCTGCTGCCATCTTGGCAACAAGTACGATGGTGGGAGAGGTCGCGTCCGCTTCCGCTTGCGATCGAGCCGCACCTCGCCTTTCACAGCCAAGTCCGTTTTGCACTCTTCGGCTCGACCTGACGCTGGAGCAGCTCGTGCCTCGCCCAAGCTGGGCTCCACGAGAGGGCTCCATGTTCACCTTTGAGTGCGGCCAGCTCTTCCGTCGAGAAGAGTTCCTCTCGCATTTCCGAAATGTTCATGGAGATATCCACTCTGGACTCAATGGCTGGATGGAGCACCGTTGCCCGTTAGCGTATTACGGCTGTACGTACTCTCAACGAAGACTCTCCCCGTCCACTCAAGGGTCGAAGGTTGTCCACGACCGCCACCTCAGGTCATTTGGGGTAAAACCCCTCTCAAAACCTGTAATAGTACCTAAGTGCGATCACCTTAGTGGTTTGCCGTTTGAAGTACTTCAACACGTAGCCCGATTTCTGGATGGCTTCGGCCTGTGTCAGCTGTCAATGGTGTCTCGTACGATGAGGGATGTTTGTGCCAGTCTGCTACAGAGCCGTGGCATGGTGGTGGTTCAGTGGGAAAAGAAGCAATATTTGGATGGAAGACGATCCTGGCAGATAAAAGACAAGGTACAGTAGGTCTGAACAGTGGCCACTAGTGTTGTCACGATACCAAAATTATTGTTTCGAGACCGATACCAAGTCAAGTATTGCGATTTCGATACTTTTCGATACTTTTCCTGAAAAGGAAAGTATTTCTTACAAGGCGTTTCATATGCACCTCCTTTGCATAGGTCTGTGTTATTTAATGCTGTAATAACCTAATATAAATAAATCACTGACATGCACATGCTCTGAGTATAATCATATAGCTGATAGATCATTTTGCTGATGTTTTGTATCCTTTATTTTAGTAGCTTGCAAATTATTTATGCCATCTATGAAAGTTGGGGGGAAAGTTGTAATGTACACCTAATACAAAAATAAATGAAACATCTCCAGTTAACTAGCAGATAATTCATTTAGTTCGCTATTAATTAAGAGATCTAGCGTTAAAATCTGTTGTTGTTGTTTTTTTGTTTTTTTAAATCAAGCACCGCTCTTTTTCGCTGCTATCAGTTGGATACAGTGTCTTTTGCGAGTCGCGCACCGTCTTCACACGGACGCGCGCTTCAAACTATCGCCGTTGCAGAGACCTCTGGATTGTGTTGCTAATAACTTGCAATGTATAACTATCAGACCACTGGGAAAAGATCCGACTCTCCTGATTGCCACTCCGCTAATGACAGGCGGAGACTGCACTGTATCACGTGTGCTCGCGCATGCAGCCGTCTCGCGGTAGTGATTGTCTCATGACACCTGCAGCTTCTTTCTGCGTGCGTGAGGAGAAACACAGACGTTCATAGGGAGAGACTGGAAGCGTGCGTGGCACACACCAACATGAAATACGTCTCTTACAAATCTGGGTCGCGGTCATTCATAAAAGTATCGATACTAATAAATTTAGGTATCGTGAGGTTTTTAATTTCCGAGTATCGCGATACTTTTGAAGGATCGGTGCACCGTGCAACACTAGTGGCCACATGCTAATCGTGTTAGTTTGCACATGACTGACTGAACTCAGTGGAAGAAACAGTCTGAGCAGGTAACAAGTCTTACCACCAAATTGTTAAAGGAGTAGTTTACTTTTAAAAAAATAAGGAGTAGTTCACTTTTGCTGATAATTTACTCACCCCCATGTCATCCAAGATGTCCATGTCTTTCTTTCTTCAGTCGAAAAGAAATGAAGGTTTTTGATGAAAACATTCCAGGATTTTCTCCATATAATGGACTTCAATGGGTCTTATCAAGCGAAACGATCGCTCATTTTATAAATAAATAAATAACAAAGTTTAAGTTTTATAAGCAAAAATGATCGCCTTACTCTGTTCTGTGATGCGCGTTCGTGACTCTCCTGTTCGAACTCGTTTATCAAAATGAATGAATCTTTTTCGTGTCATTTGGTTCATTCAACGAACGAAATGAACGAGTTGACTCGGGAAAAGATTTGTTCATTTTGATGAACGAGTTTGAACAGGAGAGTCGCGAATAGGGTTGGGTATCGTTCGAATTTGAACGATTCTGATTCCGATTCCTTGTTTCGATTCCGGTTCCTAACGATTCTCGATTCCGATTCTTTTAAGAGGCAGGGTCAAAAAAGTTTAGCTAACCTTGCTAACCAATGGTATTTTTGAAGGAAATACTCCTTTCTGAAGGAAATACTCCTTTTGTCACAAATTTAGCATTTTGCCGAGATTTCGTTATTTTTAGAAAAGTGAAGCCACACTTTGGACCACAGACGTAAGCTACTCATGTTCGACTCGCGCGGTTATGCCAACACTTCCGGTAGACGCTTCTTCGTTGGTGTTGTTCAGCGGTTTCTTCTTCCGCTCGGCGGACTGTGAATATCGAAACTAGGAATCGAAATTTTAACTTTTGAACGATTCCGGGAAAAATTAAAAGTTAGTCCCGGTCTCGATTCACAACCCTAGTCGCGAACGCGCATCACAGAACAAAGCAAGGTGAGCATTTGAGCTTATAAAACTTAAACTTTGTTATTTATTTATTAAATGAGTGATCGTTTCGCTTTAAAAGACCCTTATTCATCGTCTGGAATCGTTTAAAGCCCTTTGAACAGTTTGCACTGAAACTCTCTTTTGGAACTTGAACCGTTTGGTCCCCATTGAAGTCCATTATATGGAGAAAATCCTGGAATGTTTTCATCAAAAACCTTAATTTCTTTTCGACTGAAGAAAGAAAGACATGGACATCTTGGATGACATGGGGGCGAGTAAATTATCAGCAAAAGTTTTTTTTAAAAGTGAACTACTCCTTTAAGTGGTTACGTGAGTAACTGTTCTGTTTTCCTGCAGGTTTGGCGGTTCAGCACAGCCTTTAGCCCGGTTAACAGGTGGGAGTTTGCGGACATCACTAGTATGGCTGACCACCTGAAACGATGCCCATACAATGAAGTCCTCCGCCAAGTGGAGGCGGTTCCTCTGCCCTGCATGTGCACGACCAGAGAGCTGACGCGCGACGGCAGGTCGCTTCGCTCCGTTCTCAAGCCAGTGTCATAAGTTTGCAACTAAAACACTACAATATCTAACCTCTTCAATCTACAATATACTATCACTGTGTAAATAAAAGGAAACAAAATATTTTTTTTGTTTTGTTATGATGTTAAGATTATTTTTGTATTAATATATGAAAGATCGGTGGTGTCTGATGCAATGGTTCGTCTACTAAAATCACACCCATGCTTTATCTAGACTAATGCTGAGAGAGGACTGGTTTAAGGGAGTGTAAACATGGGTGAAACAAGTGCGGTATTATGAGCCTCAACCTGTCGAATAGATGCTTGATTTATTTGTCTTGACACACCAAGGTAATCTCTGGTAATGATTTCTGGTTCCTGTCGACACATATCCACACTATAGGATATTTGCATGGTTTGGTTAAGATATCGTTCTTTCTTCGATTGTGTGTGATTATCTCTGGACAGATAAGTTCTGTGTTATGCTGACATTGCAGACAGGCTCAGTTCAGCCTGATCTGGGAACAGCTGTCATGCTTAAGAATGCAAGGGCTTGAATCTATATTGGGTTGCAGAGTAAGAGAGCTGCTCTGCGGGGATTTTTTTCTCTTTTTTTTCGCATTGTCATTGAAAAGAGGGTTTTCATGTACAGCAATTTTACCTTGAAGGCTTCATCCAGAAATTGCACCAGTGAACTACAGCTGATTGAATCACACTCGATGTGTACTGACGCATCCATACTAAAACACCTTGAACAGTTTTAGTTCATTCTCCAGTACTATATCACTCAATATCAGCATGCCAGGTTAGCATGCATCAACATTTAGAGTATGTATCAAATATGGTCCTGTATCCTCACTAACCTGGAGCAAGACACTCTGCTGTTGTGTTCCCCATTGAGTGAGTGAGGGAAAGCTTAGGTAACAATATATTTAAGTACAAAGAAGAGCTCTAACTTAAATATATGTGATGTGTGACATATTATAACCTGTGTGCTGTGAGCATTTGTCGAAGCTAATATTTATCGGTGTGAACTGCAGCTAATGAACCACAGAAGTGTTTATTTTCATCAATAGAAGGTTTATGGAAAGCATGTCAGGAGCTGTTTTAGGCTTCTCAGCTTGACTCACCCAAGGGTGTGTGGTTGCATTAAAATGAAGTGATGATTTATTTTATTTTTTTGTTAATGCAGTCCATATATTGTATTACTGAAGCCATGTTTGACTGTTTAACATCTGAGGAGGAGAAATTACCAGTGCAGCTGTTGGTTGGAATTGCATATATTTTATTATCTTTATTCTGGCTCAATGTCTTTCTATATTTTTTAACTGTATGCTTACAGACTACATCAAAACCTAACTTTTAACTGGTTTATACTCTGGAGATGATGTGCTGCTGTCCCCGAGAATGTGTTGGCACTTTGAAGTTTATAATAAAATAATTTAATACAATTAATAAAGTACCTATTCAGACGAACCTGGTATTTCAAGTCTAACTCTTGTACAATTGCTAAAGCAAAATGAACTGTGAGATGTGGCCTTGAAAATCCTAAAAATTTGCTGAATACTTTAAGGTGCGAACAGGGTAAAACAAATAAAAATTAACGTCACAATAATAATTATTTTTACAGAGCTGAGATTTTGTATTTTGTAAAAAAAAGATCACTTGATTGTACTGAAAGTGTCCTTAAAATCTGTGCAGGTAGGCAGGCTATATATAAACGATATAACTTATTTTTTAATAACAGATAATATATCATAAAAAGAGTACAATTGCATGACTATGCTTCATAACACTTTTAAAAAAAAGAGCACTTTGTAATGTCAATGAAAAAGTTTTAACACGTTAAATATTTGTTTTATTAATCCTTTGTTGTGCTTTAAAGAAACATTTATTTTAATGTGTTGATAAGTACAGATGCACATGTATAGTATTTGAATATACTTGTAACTGGTGTGGTATTCAATAGTACATTTAAAGTTAATTGGTCGATAATGTGTTGAAATAAATGTACCATCACTACAAAAAATGTAATTACAACTATATTTAAATACATGACAACATAAATTCAGTTTAATTGGTCATTTTAATAATTAATAATGTTTTATTTCAACTTTGTTGTGTGTATTTATGTCACATGGCTGTTAAACATGTATATGGGGCATTATTCACATGTGAATTATCTGAATAAAAACACAAGAATGCTCTCAAAGCGGGGTCATGTGGTCTCGGTTACTCTTTTACAGCACTGCTCAGGACCTGTACCTGTACTGTGATCACGAAAATAACAAACATCTCCAATAAGAAGTGAGATTTTTCTGCCAATCCTATAAAACAACATACACACAAGTTGTATTATCATGATTTATGGGTAGCCTACTCTCTGTGTGTCCCCATAATGTAGGTTTACCAGGACACACACATACAGAGAGAGAGAGAGAGAGAGAGAGAGTAGTCCCTTCTCAGCCACTGTATCCCTTTAAATGTCAAGAATACGGAGTGTATTTTTAGCGCAGCCATTTAATGTCAGTGACCGAAGGATCAGTCCCAGAGCTCCCGAATAGTGTGTGTATTATTGACAGGACATGGTTGTGTTTAGGTTTGGTGTCATTTTGACACCTGAGTGTTCAGACGTCGAGGTGTTTGTGTTGGGCTCTCGGCCGGAGATGGGACACTGGAACCCGGCCCGTGCCGTGCAGATGAACCCGAGCCGCCCGGTTCCGTCCGCCGGTGAACCGTGTCTGTGGACCGGAGACGTGCATCTGTCCGAACTCAACGCAGACAAGCTGTGGTTTAAGTTTATAAAGCGTGTCGGTGGGAACTACATTTTGGAAGGTATGTGAGGAGAATGGTCAAGTCGTGAGGACGACACACACGACATAACTTAGATGGACAATACGCTCTTTCACATCCACTGTAATACCGTTCTTTGCTCACTGGGTGGCGCTGCTGTTCAGGCTGACTTGCACTGACAGACAGTCACGAATTTATAAATTCTTTCTGTTTAAAGGAGCAATGTGTGACTTTTAGCGACATCTAGTGGTTCGGTTGCGAGTTTGCACCAGGTTTGCACTAAGGGCTCAGCCCACTGCTCACCCCTCCCTTTCGAAGAAGCTACGGTTGCTAAAACGGGACAAACATCTCGTCGGCTGAGACAGCAGAGAATAGCCAGAGTAAGCCAAGAGTGTGTAACATTGTCACTGTTTCTGTACCACAGTCCATTATAAACCACATCATGAATACTGTCTGTTTACAAAGCCATAGTCAGGTGAGGATCAAGGGTTTTAATATATAATTTAATAAAACAATAATCAGCTGATTGTCTCACAAACGTAACCAGCAGCACATTTATCCCCACATACTGTAGCAAACCCATAATACAGCGAGGGAGCAGCTATATATTTTTTTCTAACAGGGTAGTAATAGTTTAGCTGGCTAATATGAGCTGTTACTGTGGCTGAGCTGGGACGCGTCCGCATGAGTCCAAAGGTCGGAAGTGCGCGCGCTGTTACAATCATGTCATCTCCGCATCCCATAGATACTATTTACTACACACAATAGGCTTTTTTTCTCTGATTTTTAAAATTCTTCGCGATCGACTTTAGTGATAAAAGACTTTAGTAAAAGTCTCTATCGACGGGTTAGTGATTCCTGTAACGTACTGTTTTACGGTCAATGACATGAATACTAATCATCAGCTGTCTCACGAACGTAACAGCACATCTATCCCCAACATAACAAACCCATAACACAGCGAGGGAGAACTAAGTTACATGAAACAATCCCAACTACATATTTTACACCACTCACAAGGGAAAAGTCACTACTCACGGAGTGTAAGGCTAGCTTCCAGCTTTCCGCTACTTCTCTTTCAAGATAGTGATGAAACGCGTTCTGATGCGCTGTTTGTTCGCGTTCGGCTACGGTAGGAATATGACGTCACAACATGGCGACCTTCATAGAAGGGGATTCCCTCGGTTATGGAGCTATTAATGTCTCATTCTAAGGTAATAAAAACATTACGGCTAATTAAGTAAGTTCTTTATACACCACTGAAAACATAGTTATGGATGTCATATTGCATTTCTGTTAATAGATACTCAACTTTGTTACACATTGCACCTTTAACCTGAAGGCTAGTTTAGTCTCTAACTGTATTAAAATCCATACTTTGATTTAATCAATTTAAGCCTGGTTTCACAGAGAATAGCATTTAAGAAAATACAACTTCATTTAACCATGTAAAGCCTGATGTGTGTGAAATAATGGTCAGAATCAATAAAAAAAATGTTGGACCTTTTAAGAAAAAATAGAAAGAAAAATGCATTTGTTTTATGGTTTGTATCATTTATCGGGTAGGCTATGTATGTGTAACGGAGTTTAAAATAATGTTTATAAATTCATGCTTTAATGGCAAACTTCCAATTGGCTTTTCCGTCACTCGCATTCACGTGCGTGATATTGTGGGCGGAGTTACCTTACCAGCCAGCAGAGTTTCACATCTCCTGCTGGTAAGTCGCATCAAAAAGTGCTGTGTCATTAAAAGCAGAGTTTTATGTTTTAAAGTGCAAAGATGGACTTAAATACTGCACACAAGTTTACTTCATGACATCTGTCAGTCCCTAGCTCTGTCAGTCGAGTCAAATATGTTATTTGCGATGGTAAAATGTGATGACTGTGTAGCCTATGTTAATCTGCTTGTGAACTCCGATTCTCTGTTGATTCCATTTAAGATCTGTGAGCAACATTTAAGATGCGTGAATGCACTGCCCACTCTAACCAGTGTTGGTTGTTTGTCTCAGGTATGTTTTTATATTCAAATTTGTCATGTTCTGTGTATAAATGTATTAGCTGAGGTAGCATTAGCACACGTGCTGTGTGCTCACATGTGCTGCGTGCTATTTTAGTGAGTGACTGCGCCATTTTAGGTGCCTGTTCCTTTCTTTCTGTTTTTCGTTTTATACCAAAAATATGAAAATGATGGTTGCTTAAATTTATTGTCTGTCTGCAATTGTAAATTGATGAGAAATGAGAACAGAGACAGTGAGTTATACTTTATTTCTTTAATGTATGTCTTATTTTCAGTTTAATTCCACTATACGATCACCTTGTAAAATGTACAAGCAGAGTTTCACATCTCTCCTGCTGATCTGTGAGCAACATTTAAGATGCGTCAATGCACTGCCCACTCTAACCAGTGTTGGTTGTTTGTCTCAGGCTCAGGCCCCGTCCACACTACTGCGTTTTCGTTTAAAAACGGAGACCTTTTGCTACGTTTGCACCTCCCGTCCACACTAAAACGGGAAAAACGAAGACCTAAAACGGAGAAGTTTAGAAACGCTGCAGCTGCGTTTTGCGTTTTGAAACTCAGGAGGGCGTTTTAGTGTGGACGAGACAAAACGGAGGAGTTTACAAACGATGACGCAGAGGCTTACGCTCGGCTCTATGATTGGGTGTCATCAGTCATGCCGTGTCCTTCCCTGATTCGCCAACCACTGTTTACACCGGCGCGCGCATGCCCAGTGTTGGTGAATGGTCACGTGATCTGCGTTTTCAGTCGTTTTAATGTGGACGGAGATCAATTCTAATACGCAGACAAAACGCTGGTGTGGACGGAGATCGTATTCGTTTTAATTCTCCGTTTTTAAACGAAAACGCAGTAGTGTGGACGGGGCCTCAGTAAAGACCACTCTTGAGTGGCCATCCACCTGCACAGTCACATATGTATGTACTCAGATAGTGAGAATATGAAGCTTAGCCTACTTCTTTTTTATTCAGAGGCCCAAACTGAGTAAAAATATGCAATTAAGTACAGATTCTGATTTTTATTTGGCCTAAAAGTATGCTAAAATTCTGATCTCGAAATGTAATGAGACCTATATAACAGTATAACAGACTACTACATATTAGTTGTCACTCTGAATCTCCCAATAATATTAGTAAGATTGTTTTTGCACTGGGTTTTAATGATTGAGAAAGTACCTGACAATAGCCTATCGAAATGTTGTCCAGTATTTATGTATTCACTGTCTTTTTGCACCTTTATTTATTTATTTATTGCACAGTAGCCTTGTTGAAATGTATTTCACGGACGTCATGAGACCAAACTTTGAACTTTGCTTTGGGAGCAAAGCAGCAAATATTTCAAAGTGATGAAAAATGAAGGAGCGCTGAAACCTGAACATGTCAAGCTGTCGTCCTTACATGACTCGAGTGGCAGTTTTCTCATTCTGTCATGTTTCTCATTTGAATGAATATGCCTATGTGTGACAAATCGACGTTCTGCTCCAGTGCTCACGCCATCTGTGGAACGAGGTTTTGATTGAGCCATTGTTTGCCGCTATCTTGTCCATTCACACTGTCATATGAAAACAGCCGAGATTTTGATTGTGTCGAGATGTGTTTTGCTGATTGAAACGATGCTTGCTGATTGCACACCGTAGCGGGTGAATTGGCTCTGAGTTTGCCTCTGGTAAGCAAGCATGAACTGATAGTCCTCCAGTTGAGACTAAAGTAGGCTACTCTGATAAACTGATAGGGACAGTCTTGGTTCATAAGGAAGTATTTTGGCCTGTTCACTTCAGTAGGTTCTAATTCTGCACCTTTTTTTCTGTATTTGACCTAGATGTGAAGCTTAAGAGGAAATGTTGTATGATTAGAGAGTGAACCGCTTTTAAATCAGAAAAGATCTGTCATGGGAACTTTTGGGTTGGGGTGGGTTTAGGGATCAGGGGGTGGAGCTGGGTAGGTTTAGGGGTGGGGTTAGGGATCAGGGGGCGGAGATGGGTAGGATTAGGGATCAGGGAGCGGAGATGGGTAGGTTTAGGGGTGGGGTTAGGGATCAGGGGGTGGAGATGGGTAGGATTAGGGGTGGGTTTAGGGATCAGGGGGTGGAGCTGGGTAGGATTAGGGGTGGGGTTAGGGATCAGGGGGTGGAGCTGGGTAGGTTTAGGGGTGGGGTTAGGGATCAGGGGGTGGAGCTGGGTAAGTTTAGGGGTGGGTTTAGGGATCAAGGGGTGGAGCTGGGTAGGTTTAGGGTGGGGTCAGGGATCAGGGGGTGGAGCTGGGTAGGTTTAGTGATCAGGGGGTGGAGCTGAGTAGGTTTAGGGGTGGGGTTAGGAATCAGGGGGTGGAGCTGGGTAGGTTTAGGGTGGGGTCAGGGATCAGGGGGTGGAGCTGGGTAGGTTTAGTGATCAGGGGGTGGAGCTGAGTAGGTTTAGGGTGGGGTTAGGAATCAGGGGGTGGAGCTGGGTAGGTTTAGGGGTGGGGTCAGGGATCAGGGGGTGGAGCTGGGTAGGTTTAGTGATCAGGGGCTGGAGCTGAGTAGGTTTAGGGGTGGGGTTAGGAATCAGGGGGTGGAGCTGGGTAGGTTTAGGGGTGGGGGTCAGGGATCAGGGGGTGGAGCTGGGTAGGTTTAGGGATCAGGGGGTGGAGCTGGGTAGGATTAGGGGTGGGTTTAGGGATCAGGGGGTGGAGCTGGGTAGGATTAGGGGTGGGGTTAGGGATCAGGGGTGGAGCTGGGTAGGTTTAGGGGTGGGGTTAGGGATCAGGGGGTGGGGCTGGGTAGGTTTAGGGGTGGGGTTAGGGATCAGGGGGTGGAGCTGGGTAAGTTTAGGGGTGGGGTTAGGGATCAAGGGGTGGAGCTGGGTAGGTTTAGGGGTGGGGTCAGGGATCAGGGGGTGGAGCTGGGTAGGTTTAGTGATCAGGGGGTGGAGCTGAGTAGGTTTAGGGGTGGGGTTAGGAATCAGGGGTGGAGCTGGGTAGGTTTAGGGATCAGGGGGTGGAGCTGAGTAGGTTTAGTGATCAGGGGGTGGAGCTGAGTAGGTTTAGGGATCAGGGGTAGAGCTGAGTAGGTTTAGTGATCAGGGGGTAGAGCTGAGTAGGTTTAGGGATCAGGGGGTGGAGCTGAGTAGGTTTAGTGATCAGGGGGTAGAGCTGAGTAGGTTTAGGGGTGGGGTTAGGAATCAGGGGGTGGAGCTGGGTAGGTTTAGGGATCAGGGGGTGGAGCTGAGTAGGTTTAGGGGTGGGGTTAGGGATCAGGGGGTAGAGCTGGGTAGGTTTAGGGGTGGGGTCAGGGATGAGGGGATGGAGCTGGGTAGGTTTAGGGATCAGGGGGTGGAGCTAAGTAGGTTTAGGGGTGGGGTTAGCGATAAGGGGGTGGGTTTAGGGATCAGTCAATTTGAACACATGCTGCTGTCCCGAGAGTTTTTGGTTTCTGTGGTTGCACCCAAACATTCCCAACAGGTTTTATTGTTTATTGTAGTTTTTGTCCAACTCCATTGACTTGATTTGGACAAAAACTATGATAAAACCTGTTGGAAAGCATCTTTTGCTGCGATTTTTATGTGAGCATATCAGTGAACACCCCAATTTAATGCATTTTATGAAGGATTGTTTCATTGTTTCAGGAGGTGGGGGGGAGGGGGGGTGCTAACACAGAAACCCAAACTGAACTTGTCCTTTAAAATTGACTGCACTTCTGACTTCGAGTCTTAATAAATCATATCTAGTCCTTAACCTGTTAATCCCCTAAAACCCCAATTGTTTTACTTCAATGAAAGTTAATTTTTTTTACAAAAAAAAATTAGCCAATATTAGTGGAGGACACTTTCACAATATACATATAGTTGATTATCCTAAGTGTAGGCTCTTTATGGTTACCAAGAATCATTGCAACATGCACATTAACATAAATCTATTAGCATTTTAATGCTAGTCCATCCAATCAGAAGTTAGAGTCAGAAAAATCCATTTTATAAATGAGGTTTTTGATCTGAATGTCAAATACATCAAAATTCAATAAAAACCCATTTCAGCGTTGGCACACTTACTGCATTTTATTGCTTTAAGACCTCCAAACTCAAGCCGGCCAAACCCATTTTAAACACCACCGTCTGCATACTGTACATTACATGTTTGTAGGCTGAAACTGAGACTGTAACCATGAGCACCATTACAGCATTGCATTTGTTTTGTTCATGGAGTTTGTTCGCTGTGTGGGCCACAGCTCTGAGACTCTAATCAGCCCAGCAGTTGAAAGGGCGACAGCAGTGGGGTGGGATGATAAATGTCGGACAAATAACAAACACCCCACATACTTTCAGGATGAATGTGAGTTAGGAATGAATACGAGTTCAGAAACCCACATGCTCGCCCTCATTACAAGTGCATTACATGTCGGACTGAGGCAGCGCTCCTCTACTGTTTTATCAATTTGAATGTTTAATTTACAATGGATCAAGCTTATGACTTGACCATCAAATTATGCCGAATTGCAGCCATTACATGAAGTGTCTGATTCAATGAAAGGAACCATTAGCTTTTATATGTGAACTCCCAGAGGTTCAGGAACAGGTGACCTCCAGAGTCTGAACAACAGTTGCTAATTTAATTGGCTATTGACCTTCCCCCTCAGAAATGAAAGGATTACATAAAAGCACAAAAGTGTTGTTTATTCAGACGTTACATAACATGATACTTTAAAGTCATTAATTCAAGAAGAACTTTGGACATCTAAAAACTTTTACAAAATGTTCTTTTTCCTCATCTCATTTATCCCACTATGGTTTGTCATTGACCCATTAGTGTGCAAAAGTATTTGTTTGTCTTGTGTCTATCGCTAGGCAATGGGCCACATCATGACCGGCAGTGTGTGTATGACGACAGTAACATGGTGGATGGGGTATACTGCCACCCGATTGGTCACTGGATCGAGGAGACAGGCCACACAGATGAGATGCAACACACCACCAACTTCTACTTCAGTATAGCGGGACAGCAGGCCATTCACTTCTCTCAGTATGTGTGAATGCATTTCCCATCCATCATGTGTTTTAAAGGGATGAAAGTTTTGTCATCACTTACCCCATCAAGTTGTTCCAAACCTGTACGTGTTTCTTTCTTCTGTCGATGATGTTTTATGTTGATAACCAGATAGTTGACAATAGTTAATGACTTCCATAGTATTTTTTTCAAATTATGGAAGTCAATGGGTGCCGTTAAAGGGGTGATGAACTGAGAAATAAAATTTTCGTTGAACTTTTGACATCTAAGATTTTATCATATAATAAGAATATCCTGTAAGTTTCAGAACTGAAAACGTCCTTGTTAGTCCAATAAAAGCTTTTATTTACACCAGCCTCAGCAAACGACTCGTTTTTCAAAGTGGGGAACTATGACGTCATAGAGGATAAAACACCACCCCCGCAGAAGAAGATCATCACGGCCGGTTTAGCCCCGCCCACCGATTCGCGCATTACACGCATAGCTTAATAACATGGATGCCTACCTCGTGATGACAATCCGGATCGAGCTACCGAGCAATACAAGATATTGTGCAGTGCCTGGTTGTGGAAGAAGACAGTCGCTGCATATGCTCCTCTGGATTCCAATAGGACTGCATGGATAAACTTTATTTTTAATGACGTTCCACTCCAGCTGATGAGATAAAACATCGTCCGTCTGTTCGCGTCATTTCACTGAGGATTGTTTTGTAAACAAGACTGGATTTGGAGACCGATTAAGAGTAAAGAACGGTGCTGTGCCGTCTATATTGGATCTGACAGGAATTGTGCAACACACGGACTCTGGGTCGAACATGTATGGGCCAATCATTCCGGTTGCCATTTGACAACATTGGATGTTTTCAAAAAAAAATTCACCCAAGTCCATCAACGGGTGAGTCGAAACTCATTATAATATGCAAAACTGTTCTCCACTCACAGCAGTGGGCGTTTTCTTCCAAGTCTTCAGTGCGAGACACCCTTAAAAACCTAGTGTTTTTCAGCTAGGCTCAAAACTAGGGTACAAAATAGCCTATTACTTATTCATTTTGATGTTTTTTAATGCAAAATCCAAGCGAATGTCATAAGGTGATCAACAGACGAAAGAAACCCATACAGGTTTGGAACAACATTGGGGTAAGTGATAAAGTTAGCAAAACTTGAGAGCATGTAGATGTGAATTTGAGAACTTGTACAATAAATATTCATACTTGTATGCTAATATTTACACTCGCTAGCCTGGATGCCAGCCCGAACCCCGCCCACAACATTTTTTTGTCGGGAAGTTCGGTCTGGAATGCAAACTTTTGAAAAGGGGTTTCAATGTGCTAGTTTTTGGTAATTTTTAACCAATCACAGCAACGACAGACGCCTCCGCGAACACAGCGCATCTAGTGTTTTCTACGCGTGTATGTGGATGGCGCCTTACATCTTCAGTCTAAAGGCTCAGTGTTTCTTTAAAAAGTGACATCTCATGACATGGAAGCATAATGCAGCTTTTTTAAGGGGGATCCTTGTGAACGGGGATTGTTTTCACAACGTTGTTGTCTATACGCAAAAAAAAAGAAACGCGAAGGACTTTTTTTCCTTTTTTTATTCCATGAAATTTAAAGTATGTGCCATGCCTCAAAATCCACAGATAGTAACATCTAATTATCCAGAAGCATCTGATTAGAGTGTTTTTTGTGTGCTTGTCTCTCCTTTTAATTATGTGTGTGGTTTATATAGCTCTCTATAATTAGCTCAATGATTCAAGCAGTGAGCTTTAAGTGCTTGTTTCTTTTGACCGCTGACCTTGTTCTACAGGCAAAAAAAAAGTTGAAAGGGGAGGTGGATGAAAGTAAGGGTCATTGAGTCTGGGGTTGGGGAATCCATTAGAGAAATGACAGATTTACTGCATCAAAGAGGCTGGTGTATCTCCAAGAGGGCAGAATTTGACAGAATGCAGAGAGACTTTAATCAGGTAAATGTAGAATTAATAGTAACATTTATAGCAGCGCTTAAAAGAAAGAAAGGAAGAAAGAAAGAAAATAGGTTCACTCTGAACAGAATCAATATTTTAACTGTTTCTGTTCCTTCTTTAACATTATCTTTGTGGAAACAGTATGATAAGAAACTTCATACCAGAGCTTGAATTGAACTTTATGTTAAGAGCTTGTGACTAAACCTCGTAACTCGAGTGGATCCTCAAACTGTCCGCAAAACCTCATACAGCTCGAGCCGCCTCAATCGTGAATGCCCTACAAGCAGTTTGGAGGGTGTCTTTGCTTGTTTGCAGTGCAAGGGTAAATAAAGAACTAATTCTTTGAATAAGTACATTGTTGTTTTTTTATTCAAATGTTTTAGCGTGTCTTAGTCTGGTATTTGCCGTCTAGTCATAGCTGGATTCATCACGTGTCCGGAGAGTGTCTATATCCGGTCCAGAACACAGCCGGACCCAGAGCCTCGACGCGTCAGCCAGAGCCCGAGGACAAGTGGACAGAGCTGACCCTGGCTCCGGAAGAGGAGCCCCCCAGAGAGTCTGACCAGGGGTGTGAGCCTTCGGGTATACTGCGGGACATGGAGACTGAGGACTGGCTGATGGGCTTAAAGCTAGGGTATACGATTTCAAAGATTGTTCATTATTAATATCCTCGTTTAGATGCTGGTTATGGTTATATAGTACAATCCTAACAATATGAATAGAAAAAAGAACGAAAAAAATCCATTCACTCTATTGGCTGTACAGCCGCATAAAAGTTGACCAATGAAAGCTTTGCGGCCGCAAAGCTACATTGGTCGACTGCTCTCATCCAATCACCAGCTACACTTGAAACTCCACCCCACCGCACCCGACCAAGCCCGACCGCACCCCCTTCTGCGTCGTGAGAATCGCGCGCGTTAGCAGCTGACCGCATATGGTAGCTAGCTAAGTAGCATATCAGCAATAAAAACGAAAAAGACAACAGCAAGCGTCCCCTGCTTGCCCCTACAAGAAAATGTGAAGAATGCCGAAATTTGAGGAGAATAAATATAGGGTCCACCATTGACCGATGGAGGAAGCTTCAGCGAGATCTGGGACTGAATACCGATGCTGACACTGCTGACTTTTTGTTGAGCAGGTAACGTTAAACATTTATTTATACTCTTATATGGCGTGAGTCGCGTGACGTGTTACATAAATAGCTTTTTATCAGTCTGACAACTTGCTAACGCTGCCGGTCGGCATTGGAATGTTAGCTGTTTAGCATCGCCTATCACGGGTCAGTGCTTGATTATATTTCAGTATGCCTTGCGGGTTTCTGTTCGAGCCGATCGTAATTTAAACAAGATGCGCTGTATGCTGCTATAACAATTGCTCAAAACCTTCGCAATACTACTAATATCATACTTATGGTGGTGGGTAGTGTAGAACATTTCATGTGTTGCTAATCTTGCGTTGGCGTGATCTCAAACATGGCATTGAATTGTTGATGAAGCAACTAAGTTCAAGTGTCTAAAGGCAATTTTACATATGATGTGTCATTAGCAATGTCATTAGATTGAAGCGACTAAGCAATGTTGTGAAAGTATGATGATCACAACTTGACTGAGTGACGTTGTTCAATTCGTTTCCCGGGAGGAATCAGGTAGCAGAGGGGAGGGGTGTGTGTGTGTGTGGAGAGGTGGGATGAGTTTTTTAAAACTTCCCTCCCATTTCAGGCTTTCTCGACCGATTTTCAACATCGTATACTACAGCTTTAAGTATGGAGGTATCGTAGCACCATAGACTGAATGAACTCTCTGTTTCCTCTGAACGGTCATCGCTGTTTCTAAACAACATAGAGACCTGCAGGTACTATGTACTATTACCTTTACCCCGTCAAGTCTCCATTTGCCTCCATCACCACCCTTCTCAGCCAGTCCTCCAGCCCAGCCTCTGATAGAAGTTTGCAGCCCTTTGCAATCTCCTGGAATGCCATGCTGTGACGTCGAGCCGCGGGTCAAGCAACCAGCATCAGCATGGATGGATCTTGTGTCTCCGCCTCTGACCACCTCACTCCGTCTCAGGCCCGTCGGCTCCACCAGAAACCCGCTGCCTTTCGACTCTACTGGGTTCCCTCGCCCCACCGGCTCCCCCGTGGTCATTCGACACACCACCTCCTCTGTGGACTTGCGGATCTTCGCTTACGCGTAGTTCCCTTCGGCTACGCCTCTGTCCTCCATCACACTGGCATCGCTTCGGCTCCTCCTCTGACGATCTTCTCCGCGGTATAGTCAGGAAAGTGTGCTCTGTTTATTTCATTAATATTATATTATCTGAAAGCATGGTTTTATATAGAGATCACAAACTGCCTTTGTTAGTTTCAGTTTCATGGAGTTTCTATTTGTTTCTCTCAGTTACCAAACTCATTTGTTCCAGTTTCCCTCTCCTCATTTGTTACTATGCTTTCTGATTAAAGAGTTCCTCATTTAAGTTAAATCCCCTTGTGTATTTAAGTTCCTCCTTTTCATTTAGTTGGTTTGTTCATGTGTGTTCATTTGAAATATGCTGTATTTGGATTACCTGCGTTAATTTTATTAAAGAACCTTTGGTTTATTTAAACCGTCTAGTCTCGGAAGATAGTAAGACCCACAGAGAATTCAACATTAAGATTTACTGCGAGAACTAGAACGTTTTTTTTTTTTTTTTCTTATTTCAGGTTTTGTCTACATTCACAATATGAGTCAATGTTACAGTCCATGTCAATAGCCAGGTTTCCATCCAAGGTTTTTTTTTTTTTTGCGAAAAACGGTTTAGCACATCAAAATGTTTACCGATATAGCTGATGGAAATGCCAGTTATCAATCTTTTTTTTGCAAATGTCGACACAATCCTTTTCCGTTTAAGTTTAGCGCATAAATTCTATGTCGATACTTAAAATGTCACGAAAAACTAGTTTGGAAACAATTTTGTCGAGAAAAAAGGGCTTAAACGCAAATAAATGTGGTGTCACATGATATTTTTATCACGTGAAAGGTGCAGTCGTCACAACAAAAGGTGGACTCGTAGTGGAATTCATGGACAGATGACGAGACTCGTTATTTTCTCCATTTAATTGAAGAATGTTATATTTGTATTTTTGATGGAAAATGGCAAAGGAATGCTACAACATTTCAGGATTTGCCACGAAAAATGGCTATTAATGGCTAAGCGTTACCTAGCAGAAAGGGTCTGGAAAGTGTCCCTCCACAACTTCCTCCCAGAATGTCTTATTGTGTGGTCTCTCCCAGACCCTTGGGCTTCGTCACATAAGGGTAGTTACTTCGAGTCGTTGTCTTCTGATATTTCGGACCCTTGCAATTATTTGTGAAAGTGAAATGTCAGTAAGCTGGAAAATTTCAGTTAATTGCCTGAATACTCTCTCCATTGGTTTGGTGTTGGGGGGGAACCCCAAAAGGTAGAATTTGCGACATTAAAATAAAAAAATAAAAATTTGTGGAAAAGGGCACTTTTTTTGTGAGACACCAAAACATATGCAACAAATCGCTTTCGTCATTCGTGACGTCATCACGCACATCCTCTAACTGGTAAAATGCCAATTGAATGGAAACAGTCTGGTGATGGTAAATTTCGTAATGTTTTTTTTTCTTTCTTTTTTTCGCATATTCACTTTGTCAATAACATAACAGTGGAAAAAGTGGATGGAAACAAGCTTATTGACTCCATAAGAAATAAACCACCATGAAACTCGGGAAACTACGGAGCCCCTCTAGTCCCACTTTGGTAAAAAAAATTAATTATAACTATCTTGTGGCCTCAAGATAGTAACTCGTGGCCTCAAGATAGTAACTCGTGGCCTCAAGATACTAACTCGTGGCCACAAGATACTAACTCGTGGCCTCAATATAGAAACTCGTGGCCTCAAGATACTAACTCGTGGCCTCAAGATACTAACTCGTGGCCTCAAGATACTAACTCGTGGCCTCAAGATACTAACTCGTGGCCTCAAGATAGTAACTCGTGGCCTCAATATAGAAACTCGTGGCCACAAGATACTAACTCGTGGCCTCAAGATAGTAACTTGTGGCCTCAAGATAGTAACTCGTGGCCTCAATATAGAAACTCGTGGCCTCAAGATACTAACTCGTGGCCTCAAGATAGTAACTCGTGGCCTCAATATAGAAACTCGTGGCCACAAGATACTAACTCGTGGCCTCAAGATACTAACTCGTGGCCTCAAGATACTAACTCGTGGCCTCAAGATAGTAACTCGTGGCCTCAAGATAGAGTTACTATCTTGAGGCCACGAGTTACTATCTTGAGGCCACGAGTTACTATCTTGAGGCCACGAGTTAATATCTTGTGGCCACGAGTTACTATCTTGAGGCCACGAGTTACTATCTTGAGGCCACGAGTTAATATCTTGTGGCCACGAGTTAATATCTTGTGGCCACGAGTTACTATCTTGAGGCCACAAGTTAGTATCTTAAGGCCACAAGATAGTTATAATTAATTTTTTTTACCAAAGTGGGACTAGAGGGGCTCCGTAGGAAACAGTGTTTCTGTGGATCAATTACAAAGTCTAATGCACACCAAATGAAGAGTGTAAAATAAACTCGGGTGGCTGAATGAACCCAAGGAACAATACAATGACCTTTTGTCTCCAGAATCAAGTACACCTTGTTAGGTCTTTGACCACTAATTAAACACAACTTGTACTTGTCACCACTCCTCATTTAAAATGCACTACGTGCCCACTTCTAATGCAGCGCTTAAATACACGCACACACACAAACGCATCGTTGCACACACCTCTGTGTACAGTTGCACCAAAAAGCATGACACTTAAGTCATGAGGAAAATACATGAATGTAATTGTATTAGACATCAACCCAAGCGTCCTGCCCCAGAGACGGTTGTGGGCAGAGGTTAGATCATACTCAATGCTTCTCATCATTAATCTGCAGCGTCCCTTCAATCATTTCATTTATGTTTTCCCCTCAACGAGGCATGTGGGTTTCTGAGGTAAAAATACACCTCTCACCTGATGTCTCTGACCTTCATTCCCCTGGCTGTCAGTCTGTCTCCTCAAACCACTAAACTCATTACCATTTCCATTATTTGAGTCCTGAGCTGTCATATGCACAGAGGGAGAGACCCTGCTGACATGACTGTCTCATCGTTTGATGAGAAATGATGGAGACGCTGAAAATGTAAAATGAAATCCTTTTTCTCTTCTGAGTGTTTTGTAGAGTGTTTCTTTGGAGTTGCTACAGAGTTCTGCGTAATTGTTGGTTTGCCCAAGTCAGGAGGAGTCTCCATTGTATTGATATGACGGGATGAATTTGCAGTCCAATATTGAATGTGCAGGGCTACTTTCGATGGCAAAAAAAAACACACTAAACATTGTATCACCGAGTAGTAACATTGTCCGTACAATTGTTAAAGGAACACTTTTTCATACAGTATATGTTTTATGATCACCCTGCCATCTTTCTGCTATCTTTCTCATTGCTCTGGGATCTCATAATGTATCTATTAAGCAATGTGGTGATTGTTTGTTACAGCTGTGGGAATTGTCCCGGGAAGTTGATATATGTACATTATTGCTCAAACCAATAAAAGATTTGAGGCAGGTTTAATTATTGTGTCTTTGGCTTCTCATTATGCTTATTTACACAGATGATCTCTAGTCTACAATGCAAGGAAAATATATATATAAAAAAATACTTATTTTACTTATGCATATTTATAAGTAAATTTATTGGAACAACAGTCTCTTCTGTTGTTATATTTAGAATACATTTTTGATTTCCCTTTCCTTCTCTGATGGGCCATCACGGTTACACACACAACTATTTGCATAGTTTGTAGACACACAGCTAAAGCCTTGTTCACACTACATGATTTTAAAACGTCGAGCTGAACTGTGCGGTTCACACTACATGACTTCAGGAGTGTTCAAGTTGTTTAGCTGTTCACACACACGACACAACGTGATTGATCCACAACAGGAGGTAACGCACTACACCAGTTGACGACAACTCTGTCACCCAACGATTCTATCTTGTCTACAAACCACGTTTTGTCACGAAAAACCACGCGATAAAACAAACCGGAAATGACGTGAAACAACACGTGCATCAATACCCAACGAAGACTGCTGACCTCAACCCATGCCTTGCTCTGATTGGCTGTAGCTCATGACATCACTGAGGTTGAGTCGTGCGACGGCTCTGGATATCTAGCATGCTAGATATTTTTTCTGGGCTCGGCGACGCGTCTGCGAGCGTCTTTGATGCGTTGTTGGCTCTTTCATAGTAACAGATTGGCGAGCGTTCATCGTCCGCTAATCCCCTGTGATTTGCACGCGATAACACCCTGACCTAGCTGTCGGCGAGCTCAACTATTTGAAAATCGGGCTTAAAATCCTGTAGTGTGAACTAGGCTTAAGTTGCCTCTCTCTCTTCTCTTTAGGGTGCTTCCGCGTGTCTGGTTAGGCAGCTGCCCTCGACGGGTCGAACATATAACCCTAAAGCTGAAACAAGAACTGGGTGTTACAGCAGTGATGAACTTTCAGACAGAATGGGATGTCATAAACAACTCACACGGCTGCAGGCGTGACCTCAGTCAACCCATGACCCCAGAGACAATGACACACCTGTACAAAGACTGTGGCCTTTCTTATATCTGGATCCCCACCCCAGACATGAGTACAGAAGGTCAGTGTGTGTGTTTAGCCAATACGCACAACTGGCACATCCAGGAACTTGACTGTCAATTTTGTCCCCGCCCCCAAACTAGACTCGCCATAGACTTCAATACAAAATAACGACAAAAACCAACGTCCGTACACAGCCGACAGGCATAAATAACTTAATAATTACTCTTATATGTCCACCCTGCCTGCCATAGAGCATGAAAGATATTTTTTTTTATGCCCGTAATCAACTAGCCCAGGCTACCTGCCATCATCATTATAAATTCATAATATATACATTAAGGTTTTTTACTTTAAAAAACGACATAAAATCATTCAGGGGCTTACCTGGTGACTCGATGAGGTACAAATAAATGTCCGGGTAAGACACCTCTGGCCACTGGGTGGGGTTGTTACCCCAATTTGACGCTGGGAGAATAAAGGGACATGTTTTTAAATTGGCCAAATTGAGTTTGTGTTTGTATCTTTCACGCTCTATGGCAGGCAGGGTGGACATATAATTACTTGACATGTTTTATATAAGTGATTTCTAAAGTTATTTACGCCTGTCGGCTGTGTACGGACGTTGGTTTTTGCTGTTATTTTGTATTGAAGTCTATGGGGAGTCTAGTTTGTTTTCCCCCAAAAGTGGGCGTGAACCTAATCAGAGACATTCTATGACGCAGCGCCGGTTATGCGTATACACCCTTGAATAACAGACACAAGTGAACCGTATGTAACATGTACTTAGCACACAGAGGATATGCTGTACTGAACTGTAAACTTGATTACTAGATTGCATTGCTGTATATGTTTATTGCAGGCCGCACACGGATGCTGCCCCAGGCGGTGTTCCTGCTCTATGGACTGCTGAAGAACGGTCACACAGTGTATGTTCACTGTAATGCGGGAGTGGGCCGTTCTACTGTGGCAGTGTGTGGACTCCTGATGTATGTGTTAGGCTGGGGACTCAGAAAAGTGCAGTACTACCTCGCTGCCAGAAGGGCGGCAGTTTATATTGATGAGGACGCACTGGTAAGAGCAGAAAATGACTTTATCTTGAAGTTTGGGCGACTCTGTCCATTTGTTTGCAACCCAGAGACCTGAAACCAGTGCCCTCTACTGGATTGGAGGACACCATTGTTCAATAATGTCAAAGCAATTAACATGTATCAAAATAGATTTTAATCTTGTCACACAGAGCTACTTTGTAAAAAAAATAAAATAAATAAAAACTAAATAGTGACATCAAAATAGAAATCTAGAGTTAATTAGAACATCATGGGATATTAAATGTTCTTCTTGGAATCCACGAAATGAAGTGTGAAGTATAGCAAATAATATAAATAACATTGACTACGTTTTTTGGAAATACTGCCTATGTTTGTATGTTATCCTGTTCATGAGTAATTCATTCTGAAAATTAAATGTATTATTAAAACATTCTGTGAGGCCTGCCCAATCGGTCCAACAACAGTTTCCGATAAGTAGGTGAAGGTTTACTACGTGTTACTGTCATTTAATTCCAATTCAACTTTTTATCTGACTCCATTTTATCACAACCTCGAATTTAGATGGTTATGGTCATTTATATAATAGTTTAGCAATGCATTTGATTATTCTATTTTACATATCTTAACCCTCGTTCCCTGAAGGAGAGAACGGAGACGGCATGTCCCGTCGCCACTTCCACTGCGACCCGCCGGGGCAGGCAGCTTATCGGCTCGGCTCCTCAGCCAAACACTGAAGTGCAGTCGCACCGGTTACTCATCATATACCCGCACTGGGTGGCAGAGCAGCTGTTGCAAATGCTCGTTTAGTTTCACTCGAAGTAGATTGACCTCTGTAGCAAGATTCATATTCGTCGGGTTCGACAGGGTTATCTCCGTTCCCTACTTCAGGGAACGAGGGTTACCATATGTAGCTAACCGAGATGGTATGGCATGAGTGTATTGTTGTGTTTATCCTCACCGAATGCCAGTTTCGGCAAGTTATTGTTCATTCATTTTGACATGGTCTTCATTTGAAAAGGCACCTTGAGGCAATTGTCGACCGAACTGCTAATGTGATGGTTATAGTTTGACTATCTGCCCCTTTTCTCCTCTAACATTCCACTTTCATTCATTTATGAATGTAACTCAATATTCGTGTTATATATTTAGCACAGCAATTTCCCTGCCCTTGAAATAAGCTGCCATAATGAAAAGCGCTTTAACCTGACCTTTAAATAAATAGAGACTAGTGTCGCCACACTGAGAGACTTTATGTGAAAAGGTTTGCTTCAGAAAAGAAAAAGCGGTTCAGTTGTTTGAGCAGAAGGTAGCCAACCATTAATTAAAGTTCTGGGCTGAGGATTAGTCATTTTTTTCTGAAGAGACACAATCACTTTATATGATGAACGGATTGAATTTAGGCTTTTATTCACATATAGACATTGATCAGCACAAACGTAATGCGTAACACGAGAATGAACCTCATTGGTTCTTGCAGAAGCTCAAATGTGCTGCGTAACATCAGGTATCTTTAAAAAAATGACTAAACAGCTCAATCCATATGGATTAGTTTTACAATCTCTTTATGAACTTTTAGCTGTCAATGGAGGGACAGAAAGCTCTCAGATTTCATATCTTTATTTGACATGAGAGTTAGTAAATAATGATGGCAGATTTTTTTTTGTGTGTGTGTGTGTGTGTGTGTGTGTGTGAACTAACACTTTAATGCATCCTTAATGAATAAAATAATTTGTTCACAAAAAAAAAAAATCTTACTGACCTTTGAATGGTTAGGACCTTTGAATCTTAAACCTTTGAATGGTTTAGTGTGTTTAGATATTTCTACTGGAGAACATAAGATACAGATAAAGAAAATGATTTTTTTTCTGTGTAGTCATCCCATGCTCAAATAGAAGAGTCAAGGATGAGTCACCATGAACTATGGGCATTATTTCACACAATAAATCTCATCCTGATCCACGGTTAGCATCTCAATTCCTTGGCGCTCCACCTTTAAATAAATGCAGCCTCCACGCAGAAAAATAAAACCACCTCTAAAATGAATACAGGACTGATAAAGAGCTTTGGTGTTTTGAGGATAAAGTTTTCATCTGTTTCTCTGTGTGAGTGAATTATTGTACAGTCACAGGATCTTTTACAGAGAGATTGAGCTGGTTCAAAAGGCTAATATTATTCATCTTTATTTTACGTAATTCTAATGCAGTTCTTTGTCCTGTGTCTCGCTGATAGAATAAGTCTTTATCTGGACTGGATAACAGAGATAAAGGATGAAATAAAATATCATTGCGGTTTTGCTTAAAAGCAGAATTTTTTGTGGAGGTATTTAGTAAATACAATCTTAAGAAAGCGTGTGTGCAGAAGATGACCTGTTACAGATATTTAGGTGTGTCTTTGATAATTTCACTGTGTGTGTGTCAGTCAGAGGTCATGATTTGTCATGATCGGAAGTGTAAAATCCAATCTTTTCCAGTTCCTCTCACTCATTTGGTTCTGGCCTGTTCCATACACTTCCAACACAGAAAAGGCAGATCTAGGTAATTAAAGGTATAGCGGAGGATTTTCTTTTTCCGGGTGGGTAGTCTATACTATTGGTCCACCTAAGTGTCAATCATTCTGGTGATATGTTTACGTAAGGCCGTTGTAGGCTACGTGCTCATCCCTATGTAGTTTTCACTTTCATGTGTATTATGTCGGAGTTACGGTTTCAGCCATTCCTTTGAAAATGGCTGAGGGTCGAAAGAGAAAAAATGTTTACTAAGTGTATGATAAGAAGAGAAAGGCCGCAGAATATAGAAACAAGACCAGAGAGATTTTGGGTGAATATCACACGCTGGCGTGCGCTAAAAGCACAGGTTGGGCTTCTCACTGATGCCGCAGTCGCGAAGATTCTACCAGACAGGTAAAGTTTGTCACGCTATTTGGAGACATCCATTTAAAATCACTAGTAAAAGTTAATGCAAGCTACAATGCTAGCCCTGGCACGAGTCATGCACCGCATAGACACGGTAAACATCTCAATTTGTCTAAAGTAGCTTTTGTCCAAAATGGTAAATGGTAGGCTATCACGCTGAAATATTCTAAAATCTTGTGTGTTTATTATTACACAAATGCAACAAGCTACTTCTCCATATGCAACTATGTATAACAATAACGTATTAACAATGAGAGATATTAGGTTAAGGACCAACGTAATAGCACTGCTTATGTTGCTATGTAACGTAATTGCGATTTGCAAAATAGTTTCCTCAGAACGTATTTCGTGTGATACAGGGTTGCACATATCATGTCTTGAGTCCTCGGTCACTCAATCGATCAGTATAATAAGTAAATAAAACACGGAAGGGCATTTGACATGTTGTCTTTTTTATGAATGTTTTTTAGTTAGTTTAGAATTTGCAACATAATTGTGCAAGGCGTATAGACGTTCCCTAGCTCTCGGGAGCAAGAGTGTTGTGTTTGTGCATGTGCATTTTTTTTAAAAAAATTGGATTTTTTTAAAAAAATTCTTCTCTAAAATTCGGAAAGATCCTCCGCTATACCTTTAAGGCCATCACGTAATTAAGGACCGAATTCAATGACTGGACGAACATGTTTTGGTCATAAATTGTACCTTTTTTAATATTAAGACTGATTACTATCACAACGTCAAGAGAATTTTAACCAGTATAACAAAAAAGTGGGGATTTTTGTCAAGTGTGAGAAAACACTTCCCCGCCATTGACGGAAATTTCCAGCTTTCCGTGTTTTCACTGTTATACTGTAGAGGGCGCCATTACACATCTTCTGAAAGAGTCCTGAATCTCCTGATTAAAACCATAGACTGTAAAAAAGATGGACGACGCCCCTTCGCTCTTTTCCATCAGAGTGAACTGAAGCCGCCAGTGTCTCGATATGACGCTGACATCTTGAACTTGAGTCTGCGCAGTGCGCACTTGCGTGTTTCGGGGTCATGCGCAGTCGTGAGCAGGAAGTAAAGCCGCGAAATCAAGACCGCGCCCTCATTCTCGCTGAATCAAACGCAAGCACACGCCCCGCACTTTAAGTGTCCTCTGTCTCCTCTGTCTGCTTCGTTCTTCTCCAGTGATGTCTGCTGATTGCAGAACCTCGTTAAAATAAGGTAAATACAACTACTAACCACATAATCAACATTATTAAAAAAAGTCCGCTGGTGCTTCAGTGACTACCTCGCAAAGAGAACCTGTCAATCACAGCTGTCAATCATGATGTCAGAGCACCGTTATTTTAACATCACATAACTAACTAAAAACAAACTTATTTTAAAAACGAACACTTGAAATTACATCAACGTGATAGAAACTACAGTAAATGACAGAAACTATCTTTGGAAAAAGGATATGTGAAGTGTAAATTAATTGTTTAGTTGGTCTCGCGTCCCATTGAATAACATGGGGAGGCGGGGGCTATGAGCTATAGGCTACTAGGTCCGGTCGCAGGGGGGCGATCGAGACGTTTTGGCTTCACTTTTTAGGGCTTGTGCGGCATGCTTGATTAAAACACATGTGAAGAAGACGCAGGAACAATGTAAGCATCATTGCAATCATCAACATAAACAGATAAAATATGAACAGAACAGCATATAAATGAAGACGGCCTAATGTTACAGCACTGTGAAGCTCTGGGGTGTTGGTAGACTTGATCCACTTCTGTGTTTTGATCATGATTTTATGTTGTTGTTTTTTTTTAAAGCAGACGCTCATGTTCTTTTCTTTTGATATATTGGATATATTTATACTACAGATATTCTGGGGGCCATGAAACTTTTGTGAAAATGATTAAAAATGCTGGCGGTGGCTGGCAACTTTTTTCAAACACTCTGTCGTGGAAAGAGTTATAATTTAATGTCACGGGTTGTAGAAGCAAGGATCTATTTGCAGCAAAAAGAAAACAAGAAAACACTATAGATCACTAGAGTAATGTGACTCTGTCCCAATTTCTCCAGTAAACCCTCATTTCCTTCATGCACTCTTCTATTCTTTTCTCTTTAATGAGGGGTAATTGTTTGTTTCTGGGTTTTGTAAGTTTGTGCACTCATGTCACAGTGCTGTGAGAAGCTGTCAAATAACACAGGTGTCTCTGCATCAAATCAATGCTAGGGTCCGATGTTTTCCACAGCACTGCATTTCATTCGTGCTTACAGAAGACATGTGATAAACGAATACACCTTCATGTTGTTCCCGCTGTTTGGTTTGATACTGGCACATTATTATATTAGCTACACATCTATGAAAGAAGAGAACAGATTCATTTCAGTTGTTTGGTGTTTTCCTCCCTCTGTAAATTTATTCCATGGCAGTGAAATTTCCCATAAATCTTTGAGAGAGTCTATTAGCCCACTAGCCATTGAAGTGGACTGCCATTGATCATAAAGACAACTTCTGGACTCATTTCATTTTCCCCTCATGGTGTATTAACCCTTTTTCTGAGACTGCAGACATATTTTATCCACCCCGGCCATATGTAATTTATTGCAATCACATCAATGATATCCATTTTGAATGCATGCTCTATTCAGTCTTTTATAATACTAAGCAATTTTTAACATGATTTGTGTACCAAACATGGGCTTTATGCACAGCTGCACTACTTCCTGAACTTAAGCCAGCTCCTTGTTTACTGTCTGCCATTATTGGCCAAATTGATTAATTCAGGTGTGTCTGATTATTGTTGCCGTGACTACTGAGGTCAGGCACACCTGGATTAATCAGTTTGGCCAATAATGGCAGACAGGAAACAAGGAGCTGGCTTAAGTTCAGGAAGTAAAGCCCATTATCAGTCCAATTGGAAATACAGTTGTGTTAAGGTGTCGGCTTATAATGAGCACTGTATTTTTTTAGAAGGAACTGGATTTGCTAATGTTTTACTTTTTGCATATGCGATTGTGAATTGTGTATCAGTGTTGTAGTCGAGACCACCTCACTCGAGTCCGAGTCGACACCAAGACCAGAGAGAGTCGAGTCCGAGTCGAGTCCGAGACCAGAGACGGTCGAGTCCGAGTCGAGACCGAGACCATTGAGGGTTGATTACCTAATTTACTTTTATTTACTTAGAGAAATCCTTTTTTTTTTTGTTTTACTGAATTTACTTAGTTTAAAAAAATATGATCAGTTTAGGGTAAAATGGCCACATAGTAGGTGGTGTTAAAAGTAATTTTATTACAATTTGTCATGCGCAGTTGCGCACTAGAAAATCACCAATCACTGGGCGTGTCAATCAATTTAAAGAAATATTTTATTAACATACATTAATAATCATGAAAAATATTTTTAATTGAACTCGAGTGGACTCGGGAATAATTCCGAGTCCTAAAAAAAAAAATTGTTCGAGTACGAGTCAATTCCGAGTCCAAATGGACACGAGTCCATGACGAGACCAAGACCATTAAAATATGGTCTCGAGACCGAGTCCGAGACGAGTCCGAGTCTCGAGTACTACAACACTGTTGTGTATGTTCTGTTTACTCCACCAAATGCCGGCATGGT